ACGAATTCACGATCGTGGTCGTCGCTCCCTACGGCGACCTCAAGCGCAGCCTCAGGCGCATCCTCAACAACGAGCTCTTCTCCTCCGCGAGCCTGGCCAGGTTCGCCGTCATCAGGGAAGCGAAAATTCGCTCCTTGGTCGGACGAATCGCAAGGTGTGGTAGCAAGGGGGAAAGATAACCATGGAGACTATTCTAACAGACTCGCCACCTCTGCTGTTTCCCTCCGACGACGACAACCCTCGAGCGCAGAAAACCTATTTGCGCCTTGTGCAGAAGTGTAAGAGCCCGTCCATTTCACTTCGTCGTACCATGTCGTTCGAATTTCTCGAATAACGGTGGCGATCCTGTGCCGAAAGACGACCAGGAGTAGGGTCCGCCACAAGATGTAAGCAAGTGGTTAAGTACATACATGGGCCTGTATAAGATCCAGCATAACCTTCTCCCAACAACTCGAGTTATTGGGATCAACTGGTTTATGACATGGTATCAGAGCGAAACTCGATCCTAATTTAGGGTTTTGAGCTTCCGCACATCTGTTGCTCTTCGCGGCAACATCGACGTCATCATTCCGACGTTTCTTCTATCCGGCAGTTAGCGAGAGTTATTAGTTTCAGTCTGCAGAGGGATCGTCGTTCAGCTGCATTCGTGTTCGTTCCAAACGTACCTGCTGATCTCTCTCCTGCACGGCGAAGCTTCTTCCTCTCGTAGGCATTGTCCGCCTCCAAAGTCTTGTTCGTTGGTCATTGGCCTCAAATCTAGTTGTGAGGCTACCGTCAATCCTAGTCAAGTCCCTAATGAAACTGATCAATCAACCAGTCCATCATCGCTCGTCGAGCTTCTATCGTCGGAATTCCATCATCTGCACTCCATACCAGCTCATCCGTCTTCAGCTACGAGCTCATGCAAAGCTCACGACTCAGGGTTTGAACCTTTGGTTTCGTGGATTAATTGTTTTATATTTATTTGATTCATGAAATTTGGTCGGAGGAGACCTCTCATGGAGCCCTTCACCTTGTCCCACCCCAAAGAACTCGCAACCATTTGCTTCTCAGTTCAGTACTCTGCTTCGGTTGTTGTTTTATGGGAGTTTTCTCGCTCAAAGGATTACATCGTCATCTCCAAAGGCCCACGTCTCTGCAACTGAATCTAGTCACCACAAGCCGGCCGCCATCGTTCAGTCGTCTGATACAGAGGTTCCAGAAAGGCATCGCGAAGTCGTCGCCATCGTCATCAGCGGCCTTGTGGTCTTCCTCCGCACCAGCACAGTCACAGCCATCGCCGTCCTCCGCGTCCCATCATCAGCTAGCAGTCAAAAGGCAGAGATGGAGAAGGGGGTAGCGACGGATTCAATCTCCCAATGAAGCAGCGGAACAAATGGACTAGAGAAGGTATGGTGGAGAATATAGCTTCTGGTCCTCCGTAAGTTGGTCTCTTTGTCACGATTCTATGTCTCCAGTTCAGCACGAGCATATTTTTTCTCGTTTGTCAGACGCTCCAATTCCGGGTTCGTGTCTTGGTATTTATTCTCTTCTTGGAACATGGGATTCGTCCAATTGCTTTGTCAAGAATAAGTCTTTTCTTCTTTGCAGCAAAGTCATCTCCAGAAGATTATGTTGTTCGGTTGGATTGATGGGATATTGGAAAGGGGGAACAATTCACATCCACTTCAGCTTTTATCCTCAAACATCACAAGTTGTCAATAGTGAAGTTCTTCGTCGCTTCCATCATCAGCAACCTACTTTAGTCAAAGGTGTTGTCACCAGTTCAACCATCCGGGTAACAAGGCATTCACGATCCATAAAATGGTCGCCCTTTGACGTTCAAAAGGTAGTACGATCAAAGAAGTAATCGTCCCTTCATCTTCCAGTTGACATTCATGATCCAAGATATGGTCGTCCCCTCTTCCGGTTCATTATTAAGCAGATATCAACCATTCATACTTTTCAAGCCGGGCATTCACGATGTTCATGCTCCAGCTTGAGGGGGAGAATAGGAGGTCAACATACGTCGTTCGACTAACTCAATCATTAGGTCGGCCGCGATGTACCAAGTGTGTTCGAGTTCAAGAGACGCAGTCAACCGTCTCCATCATCAGGTTGTTCAGAGAGAGCATCTGTCGTCTCCAATCAACCTCGTCTGAGATGTTATTCATCTCGAGTTTTGTGGTTCAAGTCATCATGATTGTTCTTCACATTTACTTCTTCAAGCTCGACATTCTTGTCATTCATGTCTTTGCTTGAGGGGGAGTGTTGCGGTTACTTAAACTGTGTTAGTATTGGGCCTTGTTGGGCCTCGTCTTCGGTGGATTATGGTTTTAACCCTATGTCTGTATAAGTTTAGCTACAAGATTGTCGTAAGCAAGCCGTCACAATGTAGTCGTTCAATAAAATATCAGCCATGAGCTCTTGCGAGCTCATCGTGGATTAGTCTCGATCAATCAATCGATCGAGGATACCACATAAAATCCTGTGTTCTGTGTTCTTTTTATATTCCGCATTTTCAAATTCTTCACAAGACGTCTTGAAGGCTATCTCAGGTTTCCTTCTCTTTTCATGTTAAATGGGCGCTCGGGTTTTTGATAGTTTCTATTATCCTTACGGTTTCCATGGATGGTTTGAGGTAAGCTGGTTTGTGCCAACATGAATGTTGATGTTGTTTGGCAGAGTTATCAAAAACAGATGGGAGAGTGGGGCAAACTACGAATGTGGTTATTGGAGGTACAGTAACCGATGATTCCTCGAAAGAATGGCTTGATTTAGATAAAAGAAGGTATGGCAATCCACGAGGCGACTTTCAACGTCATGACGATGGCCACGTTGGGGAAGCGGTTAGGGATGGCAAAAATATATGCAACCATGGATATCCTCCTGAATCCGACCTAATTGGGTAGGGTAAAATCCGACCCCGAAGAATTTTCAGTTGGTACGGATAAAACCCAAACTCGAATATTGCGGGTAATGGGCAGACATGGTTTTCTTACTGTCCAACGCGAACCCGCCCGAATATACACATGCATATGTATTTTGTTTATAAATGATCATTATTTTTCTCAACGTATCTTATATTTAGTATACTAAATATAATATTTTCATGAAATTGTGTTGTTTGAAATTAATTTTGTTCATTCTAGTGAATTGATGTCATACTTTCCCACTTATGTTGTGTGTGTACACGTGTAAATGTCATCATATTGGTTGGAGGTATAAAGAGAAGTCATTACCCATGGATAATCGTGGATACCCGAAACTCGAATGGGTATGTGAATGGTTTTGATTTTCTACCCGATTCTTATGTGGGTATGGGTAAAGCCAGAACTACTTTGGGTAGGGTAACGAATATGCACTATCCTCCCCCGACCCAACCCATTGCCATCACTAGAAGCGGTACTACGACGGGGAGGTGACGGCGACGTTGAGATGTTCTGGGAAGTGATGAGGGATGTGATTCACGTGTCCCAGATGGGTAGCCGCTCCCGGCGTCGATGGAGAATGAGAAACGAGTGGCGAAATCAGAAAGTTTCCCAGTGGTGGAACTCCATAGCAGGATGTCTTGGGCGTCGGTAGAGTGATTTTTCTGGGGATAGGTGATCGGATGGGGAAGGTATTTTTTGGTTTTATTTATTTTAGATTTTTATTTTAATGATGTGAAAATATTAAGAATTTAATTTAATTTTTTAATTGTCACGTTAGACATTTAACGGTCAACTGTTAGTGTTGACTACCACATCAAATAAAGTTAACGGAGAGTGACTAAACACGAACCGTTTTACTAATTCAAGTGACCAAAATTTATATTAATTTTTTGCAGTGACTGCACATGTTTGATCAAATCCAATGAACAAACTTGACATATGAGGACTTTGATTTATTTTTAGGGTAAATACAACTTAATATCCAAACCTTTCGTTTGAACAATATAATATCCAAACCTTTTCGAAAACAAATTAATAGTCAATCCGTCAACTTTTCGTCCGTTTGACCGTTAGTTGACTCTGACATGTCAAAAATTAAATGAGGCGGATGTTATTTTGCTGATGTGTCATGCCACATGGGTATTTCTTTTATTTTCTCTTAATTTTTTTATTTATATAATCAGAAAAAAATAGAAAAGGATAAAACCTTATCCATTCTCCATTCTCTCTCTATTCAAACCTTTCACCCGATCTACTTTCCCTCCTCCTTTGGCGAATCCATCTACGTCAAAGCCCTACCCTTCGCCACTCCCATCCTCATGTAGAGCGCCGAAGATCTCTAGCGTTGCCCCGGTCGTCCGATTCCAGGCCAGAACTGTTGCGAAGGCGACGATGCAGCCGAGGCGGGGAAACAATGAAGTTGTGGTGAAGCGGACGACTGAGCGAGGTAAGGTTCTTCTGATTCTGTTGTTTTCTGATTTCCTTTCTCCCCATTTGATTGAAGGTTGTCTATTTTATAGTGGTAAGTGGGTCGATTGAAGGAATCCAGCAACTTGGTTGTGAGGACCACAGGGGACCACATAAGAAATTGTCACGAACCGCCCTTCCATTACAAGGTAAGATAACTGAAGTATTGGGTTAAATCGGCATTGCACTGTGAATCAGACAAGGTATCGAGTTAGGAGAATTTGTCACATATAGATTTGTGTTTCTTGTTTTGGCATTGCAAATGATTCAATATTTAGATGTTCTATACCATCATGGTGGATTCATGGACTTCTCGGGTTTGGAACCACGATATGTTGGTGGTTCTTCAGAGAAGATATCGATGGATATCGATGAAGTCTCGTATTTTGAACTTCTGAATGTGGCAACAGGTTACTTGAAGTATGTTGGAGTACGAAAAAAAGGACTTGGCCTAATGCTGAGGGATTTCCTATTTATTGTTGATTTCTAGGGACTTGTTGAGGCAATGCATGATGTTATGTCGAGTGTTGAGCATAAAAAGTGCTCCCGCCATGTCAATGTGAATTGTAAGGCAAAAAACAAGAATGATAGAATGTAGGTGCTATTCTGGAATGCGGTATATGCATGTAATGAGGTTGATTTTAAAGCAGTCACCTATGAAATGGAAAGCTATGAAAAGGAGGCAGGTACATCTGAAAAGCCATATAAGGACTTCATGGACCAAGACCCAACAACCTTCTACCGTGCTTTTATCTCCAGAGTCCCAAAATCAGACTCTGTTGAAAGTAACATATGTGAGAGTTGGAACAATGTCATTTTAAATCATCAGGAGCAGAGAATTATTGCAATGATGGAAGGTATTAGAGGTTATATGATGGTTAAAATGAGGAAGAAGCAGCGACAGTATGAGAAGCTGCGAACCTTGTTTTGTCCACAGGCAAGATCCATCTTAGCTGAGGAGGATGTGAAGGCAAGAAAATGCTAGGCACGTGCTAGCTCGAATGACAAGGTTGAAGTCCATATTGTGGCAGCAACTTATGTAGTTGATTTGGAAGGCATTACTTGTTCTTGTGGGGCTTGACAGCTATCCGGAATACCTTGCTGCCATGCACAATCAGCTTTGGCCTTGATGAGACTTAACGTTGAAGATTTTGTGAATGAGTGCTACCTTTTTTATACGGCTAGAAGGTTTATGAATCTGGACTGCCATGTATGGGAGGGCCACATACTTGGCCTAATGCTGAGGGATTTCCTATTTACCCTCCGATTCAAAGGGCAATGCCAGGGAGGCCTAAGAAAAAAAGGAGAAAAGAAGCTGCTGAACTCGAGCCTCGAATACATATGAATGGTTTGGGTGTGTCTATTGTGAGAGAATGAATGGTGATGCATTGGTCCAAGTGTCGAGGAACGGGACATAATGCAAGAAAGTGTCCAAACCCAGCCTTTATCCCGACTAAACCAGTTTTGGAAAATGCTACTCGTGGTAGGGGAACACGAGGGAGAGGCAGGGGGCAGCAAGGTGGGAGGAATCAAGGAGGGAGAGGCAACCCAATGAACTCTCAAGTGGATGCAAACAGACCAAAGGTAAGTTTTTAATTTCCTACTCATTGTTTTAAACTATATATTAGATCGACATTACCTAACTATACTACATTCCATAGAGGGCGATCCATTGTTCTAAATGTAAGCAACCAGGACATAATGCTAGAAAGTGTCCACTGAACCAGGGGATTCAAGCAAGTTCATTTTAGCTTAGCACAATCTCTTTGCATGACTATATATTCTTGTGAAAAATATGAGATTGGTTTTGGTTGTCTAGCATGCCAGAATTGAGGTTTGGGATCAAAACCTAGTTGCCAGGGAAGTCAGAACTGCTTTAGGTGGCATTGGTATATATACAAATCCTGACACAGGGAACCAGTATGTCCATATATGTGAATGTGGCTTCGATTAGTCTTGTTGTTCCATTATTCTATCTAAACTGTAACTAGTTGGTATAGCAAGTGATAATATTTGTTGTCCAATTTCAGTTCCCGAGGGTGGAGAATCGTGGCATTGGTACTTCTGCAGACCTTGTCGGTACCCAACCAACTGAGATTTACGCGACGCAGGGACCAACAACTCAGCCTCAGAGTGATGTAGTAGACGTTTATAAGTATAACAATAGCCAACTTAGACGTATTAGTTGTAGATTGCACTTTTCTGCTTCTTGATGTGAATGTGAAGCAGCAAAGATGAAGTTGAGCTTGTGGGGAAGGGAGCCAATGTAGTTTGATTGGCCTTTTCTACCTACTTTTGCATTTTGTACAGGTTCACGTCATAGTTAGACCAACATCGTTCTGCTTCTTAATCTAAATGTTAAGCATACATACAAGATGAAGGATATTTTGCACACTTGACAAATATGTTAATGTAAAGATGGTATGCAGAATTGACAGTGGCAAGTTTAAAACAAGCGTAACTTTGTTGCAAATTCAAACAGGATCTCAGTGTTGATACATAGTCACACTTCTTCACCACTAAACAGTACACAATCACTCACCGAAACCATGAAATTACAACACAAGCCATAACAACTACAAAACAGAGCATCACATCTTAATCCTGCTATCAAGAACAGCAAACATATTGCGCAAGTTTCTCAGCTCGGTTTCCATTCTTGCGTGATCCTCCTTAGTACTGATCAACTCTTCTAATAGCAAATTTTTAGCCTTTTTCCTTCTTTCTGCCTCCATTCTAGCAACCCTACAGCTCTCATCCATTTCGATTAGTTTGTTCTTCAACTCATCTTCTGATTCCTTCCAAACTTTGGGCTTGTACTCATCAACCCACACGAAGAACTTGCACTTTGCATTCGAATCCTACAAAAAGAGAGTTGAGGAGATGTGTACAAGAGATAACTCGAAAGCCCACAATCTAACCAAATACCCTACCTTCCAGTATCGGCAACAGTAGAACTTTCTTCCCGGATTCTTATCGGTACCAGAAACTTGTAAAATACATGGACAATGGTGGCATATGGGTCTTGAATCGTGATACGTGTTGGCCGAAGATGAAGAACCGTCCCTCGCAGACATGGTCCCGATGTATTTCGCCAAAGATGTTGTCTTCTTCGCCAAAGCTACGTTGTCTACTTCGCCAAAGATCCGGCCTGGGATAACACGATTAGACCACGCTCGCCATGACGAGGGAAGAAGGCGGCGTTCGCGCTGGTCACAAGAGGGGACGAGGCTGGGTTTCGCGGTGACTGGGCTGGATCTAGGTCTGTGGTGGTCGACGGGGACGGGGCTGGGTTTCGCCAACAAAGGGAGGGGTTTCGAAAGAGGGAGAGCAAAGGAAACTTTCCTTCTCCCCTTTTAATTTAATTCAAATCCCTAATTTTTATTAGTTGCCACATCAACTAAATTCAGTATACGTGTACAAATAACTTACCACGTCAAAGTTAACTAACGCTCAAACGGACGGGAAGTTGACGGATTGCCTATTAATTTGTTTTCGAAAAGGTTTTGATATTATATTGTTTAAAACGAAAATTTTAGTGACAAATTGCCTATTAATTTGTTTTCGAAAAGGTTTGAATATTATATTGTTTAAAACGAAAAGTTTGGATATTAAGTTTAATTTACCATTGTTTTTAACTTTTTATTAGACTTTTATCACCTCATCACCAAGGTTTTTTAAAAGTGGAATAAAACCGACAAGCTCAATGAATTTGTTACCCAAGTAGAAATTGCAGGCAGTGGCACGGCCAAATCCGCGAGCGGAACGGATTATGAGAGTTATTTTGGGCAATCCAAGGGCTATTTTACACCACAACAACTAGTGGAATGCGTTGGAACAGGACGAAACCGAAATCTCAAAGAATCTGAAGTTTTACAAACCAGGAAACCCAGACACTTTCTCAGTTCAATTCTGGTGCAAAAGAACAACTGCGGGAAGAGTGGAAGACGAAAACCCAGATTCAAGCACTGGTCTGCACTCTCTTCTTCGAATTATTCTTCGGTCTTATCTTCACGAAAGCTTTCGCTAGATCCTGAAAGCAGCAAAGAACGAAGAATCCATAAGTTTCTTGATTATCTACATTCGAAAAGGGTCTAATCCGAAAGTAACCATAATATATTGCAAACTTCAGGAGATCTAATCCTAAAGCCCTTTACTGCATTTGCTTATCTTTTGACCTGGCTAAACTGCTAAACTCAGGAAAACTAATTCTAAAACAGTAAAACCTTTCACAGAGAGGCAGAGAGAGCTCCCCTCAAGGCGTCAATAGTGTCTTTGAAGAAGAAATCACTGGTTGCAGAAAAAGATAAAAGTTGTTGGCAACTGGCAAGTACTGCTTCCCTAAAACATATTAAAGATGAACAATGCATTCATCTCCCATGAAGACCGCAAACTACTACGCAGATCACAAGAATCAGAATAATGCATAAGAGAAATGCCAGCCATCCATGAAGTTATGAAAATATCTCTAGTCTTTGAACATATTCAGGATCTCCTGATTGAAAGTTGAAACCATGAAACATATTTAGGATCTCCTGATTGAAAGTTGAAACCATGACCGAATGCCAAATTGTTCATGAATCTGACGGCAGTACCTGAGAGGGCTCCTTGTGAGATGGGTCTGAATTCCAGAGGTTATCCAACTTGTAGTAAGCTCTAGCATTCTCATCAAGAGCATGAACTATCACCCTACCTAAAGAAAGCAAAGAAAAAGGAAACATACAAAAGAAAGTCGCAGAGTAAGTATGAAGCTCCTAATGCATTGCTATTATAGTTCCAGTTCCAATTCAGGCACACAATCAATTCATTTCCCAGAACAATGAACCCTAAAAATGGAGACAATTACCCGAATCAACAACGATCCACTTCCCTTCTTCTTGCCCTTCCACGCTTGGAAGCATCATCCTCTCAACTCCCTTCTGCTTCTGCTTCACCTGCTCAATCCAGAATCCCAAACCAATAACATAACCATGCAAACAAAAAAAAAAAACTTTCCCCAATCCCGCCATCGCTGGAGAACTCCTGCAATTAGGGTTTCCCGCCAAAAGGAATTTGACGAACCCTTGCCTTGTAAATGAGAGCTTCGGCGATGTTCTTGACGTGCCATGTGGACCTTCCGGTGGCGATCACCATGTAATCGACCCAATCGCAGCGCTTCCCGACCGGTATCACCTTCACGTCGTCGGCTCGCACGTCGGTGAGGATTTTCTCCACCTCACCGAGCTCCAGCAAGCTTCTCCTATCGCCTCCGCCGTCGTTGCTTCCCGCCACAATTGACGAAGAGCAGAGACCGCGTTGGGAGGCTGGTAAAACTCGCTGCCAGTGCCATGACCGGCGGAGGAGAGATGATGTACTCGATGACCGCAGTGCCGCCGTCAACATTTAGAACCGTGGAACCAGTTTTTGTTTTTGTTTTCAAGGGGGCGCTCTGGACGTTTTTCTTTCACAAGACGGAACGGATGCTACTGAGGAGTGAGGACAACTGAGTAGGACTGTCTGTAGGAGTATCTGGGCCTGGGCCTGGGCCTTTTCATGGGCCCGAGCTTTGTGGCATGGACTGGAATCCTGAAGCCACTGAGTAGGATTGTCTGAGTATAGGACGTTATTCACCAAAGCATATCCTAAACTACATCGAATCGATCAAAAACTGCACGGATTAATCGGTTAATTGCATTAAAAAAAGAAAGGGTTATAAATATATTATGTCCTTCTATTATGTGTTTTTTTATCAAACATGCTACTCTATTATTTTTTTACATCAAACATGCCCCTGTACTTTGAAAAAGTTATCAAACATGTCCTTCTGTTAAAATTTTCATTGAAAAAATTGTCAATCATGGTTGAACTAAGATTTAGACAACCTAACATAGGCAAATGAGAGGGAAAATGTCAGTTTTGTCCCCTGTTTAATTTATTTGGGTCTCGTCATAGTGAAATTTTTAGAATTATTTGGCTATACAAAAGGACAACAAATTCTAAAGTGAAATTATTAGGGATATTTTAGACATTTGTGTAGCCCAAACAAAAGTTCGGCCGTGGTTAACGATTTTTGGATGAAAATTTTAACAGAATGACATATTTGATAAATTTTTCAAAATTAAAAAAACATATTTAATGTAAAAATAGTAAATGAAAATATTGATAAAATAACATCGAGAGTATTATACTTATAACCCAAAAAGAAATTGTCCCGCGGGCCACGGGCGTTGTTTTGCAGAGAAGAGCTGTATTGTTGTCCCACGGGCCACGGGCGTTTTGCAGAGAAGAGCACAGCAGGTACGCAAAGGAAGGAGAACCCATGGGCCTCACGTGCAAAGCCCAAAAAAGGGGATAGAGAACATGAGTGAGGCCCCACTTAAAAAGCTTCAAAAAGGGAGGATTGCTTGTAACATACAGACATAGGAACGTGAGATTGTTAGTATGTAATTGAGGCTTTTCATTCTAATCATTATTCATTTTTATCCCCAACTCCTTTCTAGTCTCTACATTTTTTTAGCCTTTATTTGTTATCGGGCTCCCCAAGCTAATCGATTCGGTCCGGTGTTGCCGAGTTTTAGATCAGGAACGAATTTTATCCGATTTTGTAATTAACGCATTGGGTCAGGTATGGCTTTTGTTAAAAATAGTGTTCTACCTAATTCTATCTGGTCTGGTGTTGCCAGGAACAAATTTTTATCAACTTTAAACAACAAACAATAGTTCAACATGTGTACTCGATCGGGCAGTGAATAAGTGAATCCCGAGAATGAGCAATAGAAGCAAGATAGTTTGTCATCTCACCGCATTGCCTTCCTTGTAACTTGTTATATATGATCATCTGTCAATCCAACTGCAATAAGGAATTTCAATTTCGTTAAATCGTGTGATGAAGATGAATAACTGTAGCCGATTCGAGCAGCAGTCAAATGGTTGCTCGATAATCAGTTTGGAGGACATCCTTTCGAATTCTCAAAGTCTCACGCACAATTTCAACCCTTGAATCATGACCGAATACTAGGGCTGGAGGTTCGGTTATCGGTTGCCGGTTAACCGGTCGGTTAAACCGATAACCGGCGGTTACCGGTTAACTGATAACCGAAAATTATATGCTTCGGTTGGTGGTCGGAGCTCCTAATAGGTATTTCGGTTAACCGAGTAACCGAAAACCGGTTATCCGGTTAACCAAAAATATCCGAAAATAACCGACCGACCACCCCCCTCACCAAAACGATGTGAAAATACCCTGTTATGAAGTTTATAATTTTATGTTGTTGAATTTGAGACATTAATTTGGTGATTTAGATGTAGAAATGTAAGTTAGAACCTTTCATTTTAGACAATTCTCATAATTTTACCCGGTTAAAACCGAACCACCATCATTTTTCGGTTATCTCGGTTAACCGACCAACTAACCGATAACCGACCGGTCGGTTATTGATTAACCGAGGCAATGGCGTCGGTCGGTGTTCGGTAGAGGGAGATGGTGGTTCGGTAATCGGTAACCGACCAATCGGTTATCGGTTATAACCAAACCGAACCGATTCCACCCCTACCGAATACTACCAACTCCCAATTGCTATGGTAGCATTTATAAACTAACTCAATTTGCAGTTGTGAAAACGAAGAGGAGAATGCAATGTCAATATGAAGTGTAGAGATCAACAAGAACCGATAAAATAATAACTATATAAAGATAAGCATGTCTTTCTTGATATTGACCTCATAACCAAAATCCTTCAAATTGTGAATTAGATTTGGATGAACGCGGACAGCATCACATTTTTTATTCTATTGTCAGTTTTGTTGTAGACAAGTAAGTATAGAGATATTGAATAATCAATATTGGTCGATAGAAATTATAAGAAAAATTGAATATCTTTTTTTTTTCTCGAAAATTGAATATCTATCTTGTTAGGAAGCACTTGAATTATCGGGATATGTTGAAACAAAAAATATCATATCAACAAAAAATTTGAGTTACTGAGAGACGTCCAAGTATTGAATATTAAATCGGCTCCCTTACACCTTCTTCAACATCAAAATAAATTAAACAACAAGAGCCATACTCATACTCTAGAGTCTTTTTCATAATAAAAAAAATGTTGGATTTCGTCGTTAAAACGGTTCGAACTCTGAATCTCTTACACAAATGCAAAAGTACAATTAACATCAGCAGGTTTCAGAAAAAATTGAACACAATGCCTTTTAAAAATTGTACGGTACTACATCAAAAACTATTTCATCATGGTTACTTGTATTGTAAACAAGACAATCGAGTGTAACTTATGTCATTCTCTTACACGCATCTACTACATATAATATACACGAACACGAACGCAAATGGAAAATTTGTTGTTAGATGTTGAAGCATCGTATGCATACCTACAAAATAGTTACTGAAAAGACAAAGATTGAAATGTTTGAATGGGCTATCTCCATGAATGCGATTGATATGTAGTTATTTTAGTTTTTAAGGTGAGATGCTTGTTGAAGGAAAGGGAACCTTCTTCTTCAAAACGAAGATTAAAGTGGGGAATGGAGGTTTGCTGTCGATGACGACACTTTGGATGTTTTGATTAAGTTTTGACATATGTGCTGCAACCTACCCAACTAAAACGACATGATTCCTAATACATCCAAGTTTCCATTAGTGGCGTTTTGCCGTAATAACGTTGTTATCATGTTAGGAGAAGGAGAGCAACCAATTTCCTTTCTTATTGACGAATTCTTAATATCCAAAACAAAACACATTGGAGAAGGTCCACCTTAAAGTTACGGTAGATCCAATGGACTACCATGGTTGGATATGATTGATTACTGATTAGGGCGAGGGATTGGAGGGTTGGATCTTATGAATTGGTTGAGAATGAAATTTGGAGATCACAGCGGATTGATGTTTCATCTTAGGATTCGATAAATTTTTTGTTGAATTTGAAACTTTTCATAAGAAACGAGTTTTCTAGTAAGGTATATAATATGAATACCTTTATGCTTTGCAAAAATATAAGGTGTCATTTTTGGATTCCATTTTCCAGTACCATGACCAAAATGAACTCTCACTTCAAGTATCTCTTATAAATTAATGTTCCAATATCCTCTTATCAACAATTCGTTACAAGGAACTCAAAACTAAAAAAATCATTACGTGTGAGAAGAAATCTAAATGAAAGCCTTGGTCAAAGTGCATCAAAATGTTTATAATTTCAACACGTAAATGACAAGTTTGGTCACTAAAATTACTAAATTGTTTCACACGTGCCACTACACATATTATAATCCATTTGTTGCCATTAAGATTAGTTTAGTAGTCCTAGTTTGGTCACTGATCGTTACCATCTGTTAGTCTCCGTTAACGAGATCATCTTTTTTGCTAATGTGACAAAAAAAAACTCTTAGTCACCCCATTTTAGTCTAGAAAAGTTTATACCGACCCGACACGACATATAAACCCAACCCAACCCAACCCTTCCCCGATGACTCGACCATGCTCTACCAACTTCCATTGCTCCAAATTAAAACCTCACCTCCTCGACCTCCTCTTAGAAATATGAAGATCCAAACGAATGAAAACATTTGTCATTGATGTTGCACTTCCGATGTCGATGAGCCTAGATTCGCTTTCTACTACTACTACCTTCCCCCAGTTACGCTTGCCGCCTAGCTCTCTATATTACCCTATACTTAACAAGTGCTCCACGACGAGTTTGAAGGGTATATACTCGCCATGTTAAAATAGATTGACTACCCGATTATGTTATTTATGCTAGCAAAAAACTGACGCCGTTAACAAAGGCTGACGATAGATAACGACTAGTGATCAAAATAGGACCACTAAACTAATCTTAACAGCAATGAACAAAATCAAATATTTTGGGTGATGTCTATTTTTTATCCAAATCTTTTTCATATTCTTTTATATTATTCAAACCTATTAAAATGCTATTAATTAACCAAATTTTTCGTAATGCATCAAAATATTAGCCATTTTCACGTTATCGTTAATAATTTTGTAACTCTAAACTTAGTTAAAATACTAAAATTTTAGAATGTTGACCTTTCTTTTAAGTAAATATCATGTTGCCAAGTCAATATTACTAACAAAATGGCTAACTGGAAGTTAACATTTCACTAATTCTTAGGATTTCGATAGGTTTAGCTAATAAAAAAGAATTCGAAAAAAATTTAGCTACTAAATAGTAATTACCCAAATATTTTTAAACGTAAATCAATTTAGTAATTTCACCAACTAAACTCGCAATCTATCCTAATTTCAATATATGCATTACTCTTATGATGACACTTTCTTGTACTAATGTACTTACACTCTTGAGTCTTGATTACAATACATGAATGAAAATTGTCCGTTGATTCTATGGCGGAAAAGGGCAAGAATCAGATAGAAAAGTGTGGGAAAAGCGAAAAGAGGATAGAAAGAAAGAAGAGGAGCAGCTAAAACTAAAATGAAATGGTTTGCGGTTGGTTACTACGCTATCATTCACTTTCTCGGAGGAGAGAGAAGGCGAGAAAATTCCATGCTTCCTCAACTCTGTTTGTTTGTCTTCTTCCTTACCCTTCCAAAAAAATCCTCCCGATCTGTGCAGTCTCTCTTCCCAACTCACCCCTCTGCCAAATTAAATGCTCTGTAGATCCAAGTAACAGTCTCGCTTCTGCTCCTAGTACTTCCTCGCTGGTCGTGATTCCGCATTTGGGCTCCTTCGCCTTACCTCTTCATTTCCCACCTTCAAGATCGCTGTTTTTTCGACCAGCTCTCCCTCTCTTCCGTCCGTTGAAGGGATTTTGACTCCTTTGGCAACTTGGGTTCAACCTGATGTCAAATGTGCTTGTGGGAGCGCCGGCTTTCTGATTTCCCGGAGTTTCAGAGGTCGTTTTAGCAGTTGAAGTGAAGCTTGAGTTGAATTTTGGTTGTTAATGTGGCTGTGGAGAGTGCCTGTTGTTAGAGATCAACTACGCGCTCTCATGGTAGTTTAGGGTTTCGTGGGTTGTTTCACGAGGGAGGAAAAAGTTGGAGACTTGGAGAGGTTCATCTATTTTGCTGCATCTGAATGGTACAGTTTACTTGATTGGGTGGATTGTCGTCTCTTCCACTGCTAGTTTCCGAAGGCTTCAATGCCGGGTGAGATTTTGGCGGCGGGAAGTGCGAATGAGCAGTTAATGAGTTAATGGAGGAATGATTATGGTAATTTGAGTTCTTCGAGCTCTGAGGAGGCGGAATTAGGTTTTCTAAGTTAATTTCTGATGAGAATTTTGAGTGAACTGTTTCTTTAGAAAAGATTTAAGGTTTTTGGCAAATAGAGAGAGAGAGAGAGAGATGCCGCCATCTCCAGCTTTGAGATTCTCTCCTGGGAGAGAGCTAAAAGCTGCTGATAACCACAAGCGAGGCCGGAGTCTTGAAGGTGGGATTCTGTTCAAGGAGAGAGATGATGATCTTGCTTTGTTTAATGAGATGCAGAGCAGGGAAAAGGAGGATTTTTTGCTCCAGTCGACTGATGATTTCGAAGACTCATTTTGTAAATGCTTCTATACCATTCTCCTCCTGCTTTTTATTCTGGAACGTTAATTGTGGAATCTATAATGTTGTAAGCATCTAGAGGCTGATGATGGTTCTGAATGACTTGCCTTTTGTGGAATGTATACAGCAACGAAGTTGAGATACTTCTCGGATTTGAAACTGGGGATATCCGCTCCTGGGCGTGGGGAGAGTAGCGAGCTGATGAATGCAGAAGGGGATAAGAATGACTATGAGTGGTGGGTTTACTGTTTCCTTGTTTTCATCGTGACCATTTTATTGTGTATCTGATTTCTGAACTTTATTCTGCTCTCTGGGGTTCCCAAATGGTTGGAGAAAGCAATGTCTTAACTGTACTTATATATTCGTGCTATCTCCGGATTGATGATGCCATTCCCTGCACATTAGAGCTTTCCATTTGTTCATATGATCTGCACAGATTGGTTGTTCCCCGTTGGTTAAGTTATTGAAAGTAAATTGCTTTTTGTCGTTTTTGGTCACGCGTCCAGTAATGCGATTGATCTCACTTTGAGTTGTTTTTTAGGTTATTAACTCCTCCAGACACTCCTCTGTTTCCTTCACTGGATGATGAGCCACTACCACCAAATGTTCCGTCCAGGGGCAGACCTCGAAGTCAACCTATTTCCATATCAAGATCATCCACGGTATACATGCTTATGTGTGCACGTATCCACTGTTTGGTTTGTATCAAATTGGTTCCTTCTACTGAAAGTTCAAGTCTATATGCAGATGGAAAAGAGTTACAGAAGCAGCAGGGGCAGTGCTAGTCCAAATCGTTCAAGTCCATCGCCTCGCTCTGGTAGTAATACGATTCAGTCAAGGGGAAGGCCATCTTCTGCACGTAACTCTAGTCCAACTCCTAGTCAACGACCAGCCACCCCATCACGTAGGCCATCTACTCCTCCACCAAATAAAGCCTCACCACCTGCCCCAAGGTCTTCTACACCAACTCCAAGGAGGGCGAGCACAGGGTCAGTGACAAGAGGAGTTTCTCCTATACGGAACACTGCAATGGGGAATTCTGTTTCTCCTAAAGTAAGGGCTTGGCAGTCAAATATACCTGGTTTCTCCTCTGAAGCACCACCTAATCTTCGTACTTCTCTGGGTGATCGACCCGTATCATATGTGAGGGGCTCCTCACCAGCATCTAGGAATGGAAGAGACTCAAGCTCAAGAGTTGGCAGGCAATCGATGTCTCCAACTCCTTCTAGAAGTGTCAGTTCTTCACACAGTCAAGAACGAGATAGAATTAGTTCATATAGTAAAGGTTCTGTTGCCTCATCTGGCGATGATGATGTGGAGTCTTTGCAATCCCTTCATGTGGGCAGCTTAGATCGACTAGCATCCAGAAGGGTTGGTGGGATTTTGAGCAGCAAAGTGTCTGCAGCATTGCCAAAGAAGCCAGCTAGAACCTTCTCCCCGAGTTCTGCCCCAAAACGGTCCTTTGACTCTGCTATTCGTCAAAAGGTATCTCTCATTCTTCTCTAATTGAACTATTCATTGTTGTCAGACTGTCAGAGAGGGCCTCCATTTCTTTCTGCTCTTTAGTTCTTTCATGCATAGTTATGTAAAAGGTTGCGACCTCCTACAGTAACTTGGGTATAATTTCAAATTAGGTAACTTGTTTAAATCTAAACCGTTAATATTGATCAAACTTATTTTAAACCATAGATTAAAAAATAAAACATAAAAAATAATAAGTAAAAAAATCAATGGCAACATGGGTTGCCGGTCACCACCAAGGCAGGTTACCTTGTTATTTTTCTTTCCTTTCTCACATTTATTTGTTTTTCTTTATTTTATCCTTATTTTAATTCTTATTGAAGATACGTAAGGCTTCCGTAATAATTTAGCACTTTACGTAACGTGAGGCTAATACACATTAAGAGACTTTCCATTACGTAAAGTTTACGAAACAATAGTTATTTCTAACGTAACAATGAAATCGGAAGTGTTACGTAAAGCTTCCATAATGACTTAGCTCTTTACGTAACACAACATTAATACTCATTAAGTAAAGATACCTTCCATTACGTAAGGCTTCCGTAATGACATTTTACAACTGTTACGTAAAATACACATTCATTACGTAAAAGTTACGAAACGATAGTTATTTCTTACGTAACAATTAAATCGGAAGTGTTACGTAAGACTTTCGTAATGACTTTACACTTTACGTAACACGATGTTAATACTCATTACGTAAAAAGACCTTACGTAACAATTAAATTGGAAGTGTTACGTAAGACTTCCGTAATGACTTTACACTTTACGTAACGCGATGTTAATACTCATTACGTAAAAAGACCTTCCATTACTTAAAGGTTACGGAACGACAATTATTTCTTACGTAACAGTTAAATCAGTAAGTTACGTAAGACTTCCGTAATAACTTACATGTGAAACCTGCTATAGCAGGTAAAAAAATTCAAGTTACCTTACTTCAAGTTACTGTAGGAAATCCCTAAAAGTTTTTAGTAGGTCAAGTTGTTCTTCTTTATGGTACTCCACAGGCTTGGCATAGAACTTTATACAATCTGCATATGTATCATTATAACTGGGTCGTTGACTGTAATCCTATGCATAGCTCATTCACTAGATAGTAACCATAATTCTTCTCATCCTATGCATAGCTCATTCACTAGATAGTAACCATAATTCTTCTCAGCACCAGAAGTTATGTGATAGAACCTGGGATTAGGGTTCTATCGAGAATTGGGGATTTAGGGATTAAGAACAAAATTAGGGATTTGAGAAAGATAGATAGAGAATCGGCCTAGGCCTTGAGAGGGATTGGGAACGAGAATTGAGAGGATATTGAGATTAGGGTTTAGGAGGGTTTTCTTAATATTCTTCTTATTGATTCTGAATGGAAACCCAAAGTACATATATATAGGAAATAGCGGAAAACCCTAACAATAAACCTAATTCTATTAAGTGACTCCTAACCTTATTGATAATTACCCTAATAATAATGATATTAATAATTAGAGAAACCTACAGAAATCGGTTTCTATCATTATGTCTCTTAAAACCTATTGACTATATGCTTTGTGTACAATGTGAAAATTATCTGCTCTTTAACAAGGATGGTAGATCTCTTCATTGTCGATCTTGGCCTTGTTAGATGGAAGGTGGCCGGTACTTGGTTATTTTTCCACCTTTGTCTTTGTTGTCTCTCGTGGTTGCTGTACGAGATGCAGTTAGCTTTTCTTAACCTTTAAAGGTAAAAGCAGAATGAAGAGGAAATCAGTTGCGATAAAAAGTTGGAGTAGGAATTTTATCCCGGGATGAGTTGTTTCATAGGTTTTACATCCGTCCATGGTGTTCAGTTAGTTGGTAAAAGGAATTAAACTGTTAAGAAAAAAAAAAAAACATATTAGCAGGAATAGTGTGGCCTTTGTCAACTGTCATGGGCGATCAGTTCACAGAACAATTCATTCGTTTTGGGAAGTCCATGGTGTCGCTTGCCATTTCTAAATGATTAGGGTGACTATTGGAGCCTAAAGTGTTTGGTTTTGTTCTCTTTTCTGATGGGTCTTTCTGCTTTTTCTCTTCGTGTTTTTGAAGGATCATTGGAAGAGTCCACCGAATATGTTTAGGCCTCTTCTGTCAAGTGTCCCGAGCACCACTTTCTATACTGGAAAAGGAAGTACTGCACTATGTTCATTGGTGTCTAGGACTTCTTCAGTTACTACCAGTAGTAATGCAAGCTCCGATCATGGAGTTGGTGCTGCACATGACACTGAACGAAGTTACCACCATCATGATGATGTGGTGGTTGAAAGTAGGAAAGAGCTATATCCGACTGTTCAGGAAGATATATTTGCCTTTGATAGGGCAGATGACCTAAATAAAGATGTTGGCCATGACATACAAGATGGCGTTCCTCGATCTCAGCTTCATGATCTTGATAGAGATTTTACAATCAGAAGTGAACATGGGGACTTCGAAGAATTCAGCCGCCAAGATGTTGATATGGAAGTCGGTTCTCCATTGGATACTTCACGTGCTCGGGGTGATTTCTCAGAAGTCGACAGTTTGAATAGCCTCGTATACCTGAAGATTTGTTCTAGGTGTGGTTGCAAATACAATGATGTTGAAGCATTGGAAGCCGACATCAATCTTTGTCTAGATTGCAGTAAACAAGACACTGTAATAACTGCTGAGAACCCTCTGGTACTGTCCACTAGTAAAGGCGAAGAAGGGAACCAACAGATGGATGAGTCAGAGCTAGATACTGGTGTAATGGAGTTGCACTCCCTAACTGACAATGTGAGTTTTGTTGGTGATACTGTCCTGCATGAAGTCTTAGGCAAGCAAGTAGATAATTCAAGCCATGAGCAGAGCCTTATGGATCCACAAGTAGAAGGTTTTGTTGCTATGTTGGCAGAAGAGGGAGATAAGCACAAGATGGCCAGCAAACGAGTAACTAAAGAACCAACTCTTGGTCGCAGCTTCTCCGATATTGTCACTGGAAGTCAGCAATTGTCCAACTGCAACGCATTGCATACCTTGAAAGTTGATCTCGTCGAAGGTGCTGGCATTTCTGTTGTACTAAAAAAATCCAGCAGTAGCAAAGGGCCTGTTTTCCAAGGAAGGAGTTTCACAGCCTCTACCCTTAGTTATGATGACGTGTCTTTCACGAGAGATAGTGCCAACAGTTTGAGAAGCTCCTTCGGCCATGCTAGCACATCTGGATCATCCTCTCTCGATCTCTCCTCGTCAGCCAGGCAAATGGAAACCACTCAGGTCCAACGGCAATTGAGTGGAAAGAAATATGATCTTGAAAGTACCAGGCCTCAAAGTAGTGGGTCATCTTTTTCCGGGTCTCTTAATAATGTTCCACACCGAGCTTCATTCCCTCTGACGAGTACGCTTGAAGATAGTGTTTCAGGTTCTCAAAATAACGAAGTGGAAATTACCAATACGTCTTCTACCAATAATGGCCAGCCGGTTTCTGAGGAATATTTATGCGAGAGAACAGACAGTAGTAGAACCATGGATGCTTCCACATTACAGTTAGAAGAGCATTCTGAATTATCCCCAGCTTCGAAGAGTGTCCCGTTGCATGAAAATGACGAAGGGTATCAAGACCATGCCAAAAATCTCTCAGATACAGATGCATTGTCCCCCTTGGAATCCTCAGTTGAAGCAGAAAATAGCATCACCAACACGAGTGTCGATCATAATCATACTCCCGAGGTTCCCAGTCACAGTAGACTGGCATCAATATCAGAGATTGAAAGTGAGGATCACCTTCAAAGTCCTCCAAGCTCAGTAAGAAATGATCTTTCTGCAAACTTGAGAGGGATGTCAGAAGAATTCGAGGATCCTTCACTTTCTGTACCATCAGATAAAGATGCTACTGCTTCCGTCCTGCGAACCAGCACCTCAGATCATGAACGCCGTTTTCTAGGTATGCGTTTACTCTCCTCTTCCAAGTTTGCGTTACGTTGATATATGAAGGGTTAATTACATTTGTAGTCCCCGTATTATGCCTTCTTGACAAACACGTGCATGCACTATTATTTTAAACAAATTCATCCCTGTGCTTTCGTTTATCGACTTTTTGTCTATTGAACGTTCATGTTTGCCTCTCAATCAACTCTTAAATCTAACTGTCTTGTCTTGATTTTTTAACATGTATCTGTCATGTGGGACTTAATGGGGCGGAGATTTTGATTAGATTTCCATCATACATGGCTTATGACATGTGAATTTGTTTTAGTTCACAGTACAAGGACATGTTTTTGTTAAAAACAACATAGTACGTGGACCACAAATGTCATTAACCCATTTATAATGAACATTTATATGATAATGTCTCTTCAGTTATGGTTAGGGCGTGCACCAATTTGGTTCATATTGGACTGATTTAATTTGGTTTCGATTCTATAGATCCTCTAGAAAAACGAATTGGACAAGATCGAATCTAAACGAGATCGCTTCTGATTCGATTTTAGTCATCATTCCCCCCTTGTTTATTATATAGTGAAGATTCGGTCTGGTTCTGGATGATGTTGGATCATGCACACACCTACAGTTATGGCAGCACCTGTTGTATTTCCTTATTGCACATCTATTTTTTATGAGTTTGCAAGTTGTGCTCTTCAGAACGAGCATCGATTCTTCCGACATTTTAATAAGTGTCTTTTTTGCCAGATGAGTCCACTGTGATGGTGGAATGCCATGGAGGGAACAAGATGGGAAGAAGCCTAACCCTCGAAGAAGCTACCGACACCATACTCTTCTGTAGCTCAATTGTCCACGACCTGGCTTACAAAGCTGCAACAATAGCCATTGAAAAGGAACTCTCAGTCCCATTGAACGATTCACGGCCAACAGTCACCATCTTGGGGAAATCCATTCCTGATAGAAAGGATACCCGCGGTGGTGTAAGAGCCAGACGGAGTTTAAAACCTTCAAAAGTTAAGCAGCAGCAGCAGCAGAAGCAAGAAGAGGCCTCCGTGAAAAGCCCTTCCTCTGCGAAGGTAGTAGAGAATGACGAGAATGCTGATGATTCCATGGTGCGTAACGTCGGTCTACCTAATAAAATGGATAGTTCGAAGCCTCCGAAGCTGGAATCAAAGTGCAATTGCACAATAATGTGAAGAAGGAAGGAATGAAGGTCTCCGTACGGTTTGTTGTATGCTGATTAGAGATGGCTCTTCTTTCTTATTGGGGTGGCTTGAAATGAAAGATTGCCAATTGATTTTCCAAATTCATTTGTAAGAAGAAGCAAAAAAAAGGCACAAATCTGATGCGTTGTTGGGTAACATAAGCTGTAAAGTTTCTTCTATTTGTTGCTAGGTTGATTGTTGGCAGAATGAGTAAAAAAGAAAAGAAGGCAGTTGCCGCTTGTGGTTTGCTCTAGCTTGTGACTTGGGTATATAGCTTCAATTGATGAGTGTAATGATTCTGAGAAGTTTTGTCATTGGTCGTGTGTTCCTCTTTCTCCTATTCCAAATCTCCGCACAACCATCGTTTGATCTCTTATCAATTCAACCGTTCATGACTTCTTGCTATAAATTGCTACTTTTGTCTTCGTGCTTAACATTAATTAAGTAGATTAAACATATTTAAGAACACTACTTCTATCTTTCTGCTTAAAATTAATTAAGTGGATTAAACATATTTAAGAACGCTACTTCTGTCTTCTTGCTTAAAATTAATTAAGTGGATTAAACATATTTAAGAACAGAGTAAATAAGGAGAGTTGGACGACAATACGAGAAACACCTGAAAGATGGAAAAAGAATTCAAATTAACTAAGTGGATTAAATACATTTAAAACACCGTAAATAAGGAGAGTTGGACAACAATACGAAAACCACCGGGCCATCGTTTGATCTCTATTAATACAATCGTTCATGATTTCTTGATACAAATCGCTACTTCTGACTTCCTACTTAAAATTAATTAAGCGGATTAAACATATTTAAGAACACAGCAAATGAGGAGAGTTGGCCGACAATTCGAGAAACACTAGGAAGATGAAAAAATGATTTAAAATGAATTATGTGGATTAAACATATCTAAGAACACCGTAAACAAGGAGAGTTGGACGACAATACGAAAAACACTAGGCCATCATTTGATCTCTATCAATCCAGTCGTTCATGAATTTTTGCTACAAATCGCTACTTCTGACTTCCTGCTTAAAATTAATTAAGCGGATTAAACATATTTAAGAACATAGTAAATAAGGAGAGTTGGACGACAATACGAGAAACACTGAAAAGATGAAAAAAGAATTAAAATTAATTAAGTGGATTAAACATATTTAAGAACACTGTAAATAAGGAGAGTTGGACAGCAAAACGAAAAACATCGGGCCACCGTGATCTCTATCAATTTAGTCGTTCATGATTTCTTGCTACAAATCGCTACTTCTGACTTCCTGCTTTAAATTAATTAAGCGAACTAAATTTTTTTTTTTACAAAAGATAATCATATATTGATTCCACAAAAATAGGCAATTACATCCTGGAGATCAGCCAGGACTGAAAATCGAAAGAACGACTCGTAGTCGGGTACAAAGCAAGGGCCTTTCGAGCCACCAAATGGGCTACCCAATTACTACTCCGACCTACAAAAAAAACACTAAACCCCGGATTACTAGACAACACCCGCACCACCTCTTCCAGAATCGCACCCATCCGGTTATCCCTTGTATCGGCCTGCAAGATCTTATCAATAACCACCTTGGCGTCCCCTTCAAATCTGACCTCCGTGAAACCATGCTCAAGACACCAAAGAATACCCTCGCGAAGGACAAGCAGCTCCACTACCATGGGATCATCAATTATCGGAAATTGGACACCTTTAGCCCGAAGGACATCTCGAGAGGGGGTCATCAAGACCAAACCACCCGCCGAATGAGAACCGCTCCTAGTAGCCCCATCCCACATGCAAATTACCCCTGTATGCCCCATCAGGCTTGATTGCTGAGGCAGAGGATGAGCAGACTGAAGAGCTTCATCCCTCGGGAGGTGAACCCACTCCTCATATTGCTGGGAAAACTGGCGCATCAACGCTGGGTACCCAAATTGTTTACCTTCAAAGACTACCCAGTTTCGAGACCGCCAGATCCGCCAAAGGACCGCAACTACTCCCATAAGAAGAGTCGGCTGTTGAATTAAAGCCATCAATCTTTTAAGGAAAAGAGGGAAAGTATGCCGAGGAAGCCCCTCCCCTAAGTATTCCAGCCCCGAGTAGCCCCACAGGGCCCGTGCCACCGAACGGTCGAGAAACAGATGTTCTAGAGTTTTCTTACTATCCTAGCAAACCGGACAACGAGGATGCACCGGGACCTTTCTCTCAATTAGAGCTTCCGTAGTTGGTAAAATGCGGTTGAGGATTTGCCAAACAAACACCTTCAATTTAGGAGGGATATTGGCCTCCCACAAACGGATCCAACTTGTCCTATCCATCCAATTTACCATAGCCTTCCCATGCCCCCTCCTCCTATCAAGGGACACCGCCAGGTGGTAGGCCGACTTAACAGATAAAACCCCATCAGTCGTATCCCACCAGACAAGCCTATCCTCTACATTATGACGCGGAAGGGGAATAGCTTTTATAAAACGGCACGTAGGTGGGTCAAACCACTGGCTAAGTTTACTATCACACCACCGGCCTTCTCCCTGACAAATTAGCTCAGCAACTAGAGGATCCCCCCGATTGGTAAAACTACAGTCTACAGGATTACACCTAGGGGGTCCAGCTGGAATTGGGGGATCCAAGTTGAATGCAAAAGAGAAGCAGACCGCCCATTGCCAATTTGCCATCTTAGCCCCATCTCAAGCAGCTTTCGGCCAAACAGGATACTTTGCCACCCCCACGAAGGGCGTGAACGAGTTTTAGCATGTAGGAAATGCCCATTAGGAAAATACTTACCCTTGTAGACCTGGCCAAGAAGCGACTGTGGTTTAAAGAGAATACGCCACCCAATTTTCGCTAGAAGGGCCTGATTAAAATGTTCAAATTGTCGAAATCCCATCCCCCCATCATGCTTACTCCTACACAAATCCCGCCAGGACATCCACCGAATTTTGGAATTGACCTCAGTAGCACCCCACCTAAAGCGGGCGACATATTTATCCAGGAGTCGGCACAGAGATTTTGGTAGCTTAAAACAGGACATTACATGCAAAGGTAATGCCAGGGCTATAGACTTTATCAGCGTTTCCCGAGCAGCCCACGACAAAGTTCGCTGCTTCCAACCTTGGAGGCGAGCTAGCAACTTCTCCTCAAGATAACGTAAAGTCTCCATTTTAGACCGATCAATCAAAGAAGGCAAGCCCAAATACTTATCATGGACCCCCACCGCCCCCACCCCCAATACCGCCGCTAGAAATTCTTGGTCCGGCATCGCGATATTTTTACTGAAGCAAACTGCTGACTTTGCTAGATTCACCCGCTGACCACTCAACTCCTCATATTCATTGAGAACCTCAATCAAGTTTTCACACTCCTGGAGCGTGCCCCGCAGGAAGAGATACGAATCATCGACAAAGAACAAATGCGAAATCCTAGGAGCGCGTGGGGCCACCTTAACTCCCGCCAACCTTTTCTCCGCAATAGCCCGGCGCAGGAATGCCGCGAAGCCCTCTGTGCAAAGCACAAAAAGGAGAGGGGATAAGGGATCGCCTTGGCGCAGCCCCCTGGACGGACTAAAATACCCCAAAGGGTTGCCGTTCATCAACACCGAAAAGGACGCGGACCGGAGACATTCAAAAATCCATCCTTGCCACATTGAGCTAAAACCCATCTTGTCTAAAACTGCAAGCAGAAAGGGCCATTCAACCCTATCATAGGCCTTTTCCATGTCAACCTTAAGAGCCATATACCCTTTCTGCCCATGAGTTTTGATTTTCAAGTAGTGCATTAACTCATGCCCAAGTAGGATGTTGTCAACAATTTGTCTATCTCGAATAAACGCATTTTGTCCCACCGAGACGATATGTGGTAGGATGACCGATAGTCGTTCCGCCATTATTTTGGTTATAACTTTGTACACAAATTGGCACAGACTAATCGGTCGCAACTGCCTCATTGTTTCCACATTATCCACTTTAGGGATTAATGTGAGCCAGGTATGATTGAAGCTCCGCAGTATCCTACCAATTACAAAGAAAGATACGACTGCCTCCACCATCGAATTCCCCACAATCCCCAGAATGCCTTAAAAAATTTCCCCGTAAATCCATCAGACCCGGGAGCCTGTTTAGATCCCATGGCAAAAACCGTCTTACGCACCTCATCCGGATGCACAATAGCCGTTAAGACAGCATTCATATCCGGAGTGACACAATGCTCAATCGGTAATGCTGCCAACCGGTCACGCATGTCATGAACCGGGTTCTCAGACGTGAATAGGTGTTTATAAAACTCCGTCGCAAAATCCGCCTTATCTTTCTCCTCCGTGACCCATTCACCATTATCCTTTTTTAAACCAGCCACAAAATTCCGTTTGCGGCGCGTCCTAGTCACAGTATGGAAATAGGATTTGTTTTTGTCACCCTTCCTTAACCAGTGAACTCTGGACTTCTACTGCCAGTAAACTTCCTCGGCCTCCCATTGTCTATTTAGCTCCAATTCAAGCTGACGGATCTCATCCCAATTAATCGGGTGGACTTGTTTAATCCTCTCAATCTCATTCTGCAGAGTCCTTATATTGCGCAAGGAATTAGTAGTCCCCGCTCTACTCCAATCATATAATAAATGGCGCAGCTTCTTGAGACGTTCCCATAAACAAAACATGGGAGTCCCTTGCACCTCCTCCTGCCAAACATACTCCACCATAGCTCTAACTTCGGGGTTATCCGCCCATCGAGCATCAAACCGGAACATGGGCCGACTATTTCGGGCATAAGGCTTATCAGAGAGAATGAGAGCTCTGTGATCCGATCCCTGATCAGTAAAATGCTTTACTAGGGTATCAGGAAAACGGTCAAGCCAGGTCTGGGAACAAAGCGCTCTATCCAGTCTTTCCCTGATACAAGCCGCCCCCATTCGTTTGTTCGTCCAAGTAAATTGATCCCCTTGAAAGCCTGGGTCCAGGAGGCCCATATTGTGCACAAAATTACGCAGGCTAAGAGAATGCGCAGCGTTCCATTGGGTACCCCCGTCCTTTTCACTCTCATTCAGAATCGCGTTAAAATCACCAATGACAATATAGGGAACATGAATGCCCTCACAGAGCTCCTGGAGCTGACCCAGTTGGGTGGCTCTAATTGCGATATTGCAACTAATGTAAACATAGATCACCACATACGAAAAATCCATTTCATTAATTCGAACACCAATACAGAAATTAGAATGAAAAAACACCGAAGCATCAACTTCGGGGGACCAAGCCACAACTAAACCACCAGATGCGTCAACCGCATCAACAAAGAAACAACAAGAAGACTCAAAACCTAATCCACGCATACGGCGGGAAACTACTCTCCGTTTCGAACGTGTTTCTGAAATAAACACAAGATCCAGTTTATTGGAATGCACTAAACCCACAGCTGTTTGAAATGTGAGGGATGGTCCAATTCCTCTCACATTCCAGGCCAGAAGCCTCATTTATCTGGTTGAGGCCACTCAAGGCTGGCTACCTCCACCTTTCCATCATTCTCCAACTCTTCCACAAACTGCCTTTTAGGTGATGGGACGTCCCCCATTTCACCCGCCGTTGTCTCCAAAGGTCTCTTCCGGCTCCCAATCATAGGATCTAGAAGGTTCGACCCATACTCATTAACCGGAGTAGTATTCAATTCTTTCTCTTCTTGGATTAGCTCCATCATATTACCCTTTTCGCCAGCACCAATGACGAGCCCACTTTCAAAAGCAGCAACAACCTTATGGACATGGCCATGCGAAGTTTGCAAAGAAATAGAATCACGTTTCCTTACTTCAAACTGGCCGCCACTAGCATCATCGGAATTAGAGGCCGGGGAACACAACCCCTCCACCCCCAAACCCACAACATTGTCATCGCCCATCTTCTCATTCTTTGGGCTCTGTCCCTCCTTGCCCCTTCCCTTTCGGCCCAACCGAATCTTAACTGCAGGTACCGAGGCCTCACTAACACAGGCCTTGGCCCCTTTCTTCTTACGGGCCTTAGTGTCCCCGTTGGGCTTAGCAGCATCAGGCCCGTCACCACCCCTAGGGCGATCCACTTCCTTGCGGGCAATTACCACTCCCTCATCTTCCACCACTCCTTCGACTTCCCCTGGTGGCCTAGGATGAGCCACAGGGATTTTTTCCCCTTCTTGGTACATGGCGGAGCTCTGCCCCCTCCCCTGAAATTCAAAATCGTCATCGGAATCCTCTTCCAGAATTAGACGCCGACGGCGAGTTTCAGTGAGAGGGCCATTGATCTCCGGCGAAGCCACCTCCACCTCCGGTCCGGCGTGGGCCTGCGGCGCAATCTCATGGCGGGCCGCATCAGTCTGCATCGCCACCGTGCTCCCGCGAATCAGTCTCCGACGACTGCCATGGGGGGAAGCCTGAACCGATTGCTGTCGACTTTCCCTCCGCATTCTATTCCCCGCGCGAAACCTTGGAGATTTGGCCACTCGGAACATCCTCGGACTGTTCTGGCGATGCACAGAAGACGAAACATTCGGCCCCTGTCGCACGCGGTCCGATTCCTTAAGCTGGGGTCGTGGGATTGCCTGCTGCAATTGGTGAGCAGCTCTCCCCTCCACATGCTCTTCTTTCCGCACCTGCCCATCCTCATTAGGATCAGAGGATGAAGCCTGCGTGCGAACAGCTCTATTTACCCACACCGTATTGCGAGGTCCTCGAAAAGCTTGTAAGTTGTCATCAACCTCAAAGACCTTCTGGCCGAGCTTTTTCGTGGTCATGTGCGGGCCAAAATTTTCCTTCCGGGTTGGGGGATCATACGCACAGTCTCTTTGGACATGGCCCACTCGTCCACAATGATAGCAGAAGCTCGGCAAGAACTCATACCGGAGGTGAACCCAAAAACAACCAATTTCCTCATTTGCCGCAAACAGTTTGGATCGTAGCGGCTTGGTGAAGTCCATAAGAGCTTTGACTTTCACAAAGTTCTCACTGGTCTCTTTACAGACAAAGACATCCGATTCTAGGACTTGGCCAATCGTAAGGGCAATCAGTTTCTGCCCAAATTGCTTGGTACAAACATCTTCCCGGATCCCCCAGAGTTGCACTCGAAACGGAGCAATTGCCAGAGCATCGACAATTGCCTTCGTGATCGTCGGGGTCCAAGATCGTAGGCATACAATCCTGTCCCGTAGAACCCATGGACTACGCTTCAGGACCCAAGTTTTGGCCTCTTCATTCGGCAACACAAACTCCACCAGGCCAAGTTTAGCCACCTGGACACGGATCTGACCTCGCCCTTGCCATTGGGAGTTTGCTGCCTCACGCAGCTCTTCAAGTGGCACAGCACTAGCAGAAAAGACACGTCCAAGCAGAGATCGAGAAGTACGGAACTTCAGTGATTGGACATCCCCCAAGGTGAACTGCACAACTTGGTCATCAGTGACATGTGTCATCTTCGGCACCTGTAAACACACAGGAAGAGGAGGGGAACCATTATTTATATCCCACGACAGCATCACAACCTCAGCCTGTCGCATGTCAGAATGTGAATAGGGATTAACCCGACCCAAGTTGCAAGAGTAACACCCCTCAGGGGATTGCGAACCAGGCGATCCATTACCTGGTAGCAGAGGAATGTCAGCAAGCGTCTGTGTGGGGGATGGGAATGACAGCGCCTCCAAGAGCTGATTTCTCCTTTGATAGGGAAGAGGAGTCGGCCTGGCTAGGCACGCTTTATAACAGAAACTAACCCCACCCCTTCCACAAGGAGACGTAGCCGACATTTTCGCTATGAGCAGAGTTCTATTAGGAATTGGCAAAGGATTTTGAAAAGTGGTTGGGCGGATAATAACAGAGATAGCTCGAATCCTATCTCCTGATATCCCGGAGAATCTCGCAGTGGGGGATATCCTGTGATCCGCCCGACTTTCCCGTTGCCATTGTTGCCCACGTTTCGCCCTGGAATCACCACCGGCGGGAGCAACCTTTTCCGACACCGGTTTGCCCCTCGCCGGAGAAAATTTTCCAGCCGAGGGAAGCTTCGAAAGGGATTATCTCGGTCTAGGGCCTTGGAAGGCTTCGCCATTTGACCTCCATTAGGAAGCACAGAGACAGTATGGGTGTTGCCAGAATTAGCAGCAGACGCGGATCTTACAGGGGATTCTGCCGACCCCATTTCCGCCTCCGATGACGACGGTAAGCTAAAACGCCATCCCACCTTTTGGGATAACTTAATTTTTTTGAATAGTGAATAAATCTCTGATTCACCATCACCACATTTGCGCTTTCTCCTCGCAGAGGCGCAGGTGCGCTTAATCACCCGAGGGACACGCTTAACGCCACGGTCCACGATCGTGTGCATTTGAGGATGAGACCAGCATGGTGTCGGGGCTATCTCAGCTCTCCCAACCCAGCGAGTCCTAAACGGACGCTCATCAATTCTTTGATTCACCAAGCATTTATGAAAGACGGCCTCGATCAATCTGATGAGAAAGTTTCCAAGCAGTCCGACGAGCAAGCTCCCACATCCGACGCAAGACTTGAAGAGAGAGGACAGAGCATTCCTCATGTTTTTTTTTTCACGTTTTCAAGTCTTGCGAACTAAACATATTTAAAAACACAATAAATAAGGAAAGTTCGACGACAATACAAGAAACATCGGTAAGGTGGAAAAAAGAATTAAAATTAATTAAGTGGATTAAACATATTTTAAAACATTATAAATAAGGAGAGTTGGACAACAATATAAAAAAATGGGAAGATGGAAAAAAAATTTGGACCATTTCTCGATTTATGCGTGTCATCCTTGCGCAGGGGCCATGCTAATCTTCTTTGTATCGTTCCAATTTTATCGGATGTCCCCGAAGGGATGATGTAGTTGGTTTGACGAGAACTTATAAAGATTGAACATCTACTCAAGACAAACGATGTGGTAGGCATCTATATGTCTATCTATGACCCTATTCTACTCTCCGTCCCTCCTAGAAATGTTGGCGGGAAAGTCTGTAGAGTAAAAACTCGGTCGCTGCTACTTTCCCTCCCAAATTTCTCCCCCGCCGCCGTCACCTGATGGAATCCGATTCAGACTCCGGCGGCTCTCACGTCTCAGCTACTCCTCCCAGAAACTCCAAACCGCCGCCGAAGCAGTTTCGTCCCGCTCCTCCTCCTCCGCTTCCCCTGCGGCGACCTCCACGCGCCGGAAGCAAAACCAGAAACAAAACCCCAACTTCCTCCTCCGCCGCCGCCGCCGCTTCTCGCTCTAATAAACCCCTAGAACAGCCGTCTCTAGACCGGAAAAACGACGACGACGCTCCTGCGGTCTATTCAGCACCTCTCTCGAACCTGCCGTTTCAGATCTGCTATCAAAACCGACCAATTTCATCCTCCTCGTCTTCCCATTCAATCGAAGCTCTCCCCGCCGGCTATTTCTCCAAATCCGCTTCCTTCTCCAAAATCAGAAGAACCTCCCTCAATTTCGAATCGCTCGACGAGTCTTGTCCCCCGCCGCCGCCGCCTGATTCTTCCACGGCGGTTCCAGCCCCGAAACCTAACAACAACAACATCAGGAAGAATATCAACCTGATTCGAGCGGAAGCGCCGCCGCCACCAGTCAAATTGCGGAAGTGCAGCGGTGGCAGCGAAGGCAACTTCGTGAAGCTCAACACGAACTACAAGAACAAGTTCCTCAACAGGAAAGGGATGCGGAAGAGCAGTAGTAGTTACGCGTCGAACAACCGGCGACTTTACCGACGGAGCAAGCGGAAGCTGAAGGCGGACAGCGAAGCAGCCGAAGCGGGTGGGTCGCTATGCGACGAGGAAGGTTTGGTGACGGAGATCACCCAACAGAAGGCGGAGAATGGTGGCGAGTTGATTGAGGAAGCGGTTTCGGCTGCGAGAGGAGAGCCATCCGATGAGAATTTGGTGAGGTTGTTGAGTTTAATGTATGGTTATAGTTCGTTTAGGAATGGGCAGCTTGAAGCAATTAGAATGGTGCTCGATGGCAAATCAGCAATGCTGGTTTTGCCCACCGGCGCCGGGAAATCTCTCTGTTATCAGATCCCGGCAGTGATTCTGCCAGGAATCACTCTTGTGGTGAGCCCGTTAGTTGCGTTGATGATCGATCAGCTTAAACAGTTGCCTGCTGCCATTCAAGGTGGCCTTTTCTGTAGCAGTCAGGTAAGTTTTCTTTCTTTTTCTCAGTCCTTCATGGGTTTCTGGCTTTACCAATAATGCCAGTTTTATCTAATGCTCACTTTCTTGGATTTTGCATAGACGCCTCAAGAGGTTGAAGAGACCACCAAATTGCTTCAGCAAGGAGCCATTAAAGTGAGCTTCATTACAGTTTAGCTGCAATTTGCAAACCGTTATGAGCTCATGTTCACTTTTTTTAGATCTTAAATGGTTTCCCAGGTGCTTTTTGTTTCACCAGAGAGGTTCTTGAACGCTGATTTCCTGTCAGTTTTGTCTTCTATTCATGTTTCCCTTCTGGTGGTTGATGAAGCTCACTGTATTTCTGAATGGTGAGTTTTCTGTTGTTCATCTCCCCATGTTTATAAAATAGGAGCATTGGTTTCCCATTTCCGAATTCTCATGTGGTGAATTTATAAATAGGTCTCACAACTTTCGGCCTTCATATATGAGGCTCAGAGCTTCCTTACTACGTGCCAAGCTTAGTATTGGATGCATTCTTGCAATGACAGCAACCGCCACTACCACTACCTTGAATGCTGTTATGTCTGCTTTAGATATTCCTTCAACTAATCTCATTCAGAAAGAGCAGCTGAGAGACAATCTACAGTTGTCTGTATCCTTTAGTAAAAACAGGCAAGTATCTTAACAAGTTGGACAGCTTCATTTTCGTTAATGTCTCGGTGGAATTCATTTCAAGTTCTTTTAACTTCATATTTTGAAATGTTGGCCGGTGCAGAATGAAAGACCTACTGATGTTGATCAAGTCTTCCGCGTACAAGGAAGTCCAGAGCATCATTATATACTGTAAATTTCAGGTGTGTGAATCGGTCTTCGTTCCTGCTTTTAGGAATTGGGATTCTTTCTAATACTTACTCGCAACATGTTTGTGCCATTTTTTTTGTTATACGCTTCGAAAACTTAAATTAGTATTTCAATTTTGCAGACTGAAACTGATAACATAAGCAGATATTTATGCGACAATAACATCCCAGCAAAGGTCAGTTTCTAAACTACTATCTGACGTAAAGTTTTGTTCCTTTAAAATTTGATCTTCCGACGAAAAAGAAATTGTCTGAAAAATATTTTCTCTCAATTATATTCTAGAGCTATCACAGTGGTATCTTCTCAAAGGAACGCAGCCGTATACAAGAGTTATTTTGTTCTAACAAGATTAGAGTGGTGAGAGAAGATTTTGTTCTCTCTTCTGGTTGGTGCTATTTTCTTACAAGTGATGTGAGAAGTTTGCTTACTCACTGTTCTTTATGAAGGTTGTTGCAACTGTGGCATTTGGCATGGGTCTGGACAAGAGCGATGTTGGAGCTGTAAGAAAAATAACATATTTTCTGATTTATGTCTCCTTTTATGTGGCATTTGTCCACCAACAGTCCCATTTGCAAAGTAGACAATTCATGGGGTAACACACAGTTACCGGATGATTTAATTGGAAGTTAATAATTTACTGTGAAGCCCGTGGCAGTCTGGCAGATATTTTTGACCTGTTGTTCTTAAAAAAATTATATGGGTACATTTTCGAATGAATGATGTATCTTGCATCTGTCATCCAAATGTATGTTGTGAAATTCTCATGTCTGAATCTGTTTCCAGGTGATTCATTATAGCTTGCCAGAAAGCCTTGAAGAATATGTTCAGGTGGAAATTCAGCTCTGAAATACTCGTTGGTCGTATAATATTTATGACAACAGTACCTTAACTAGATGCTACTGGACTGACACAGGAAATTGGACGTGCTGGAAGGGATGGTAGACTGTCCTACTGCCATCTATTCTTTGATGATGTCACCTATTTCAAGCTTAGAAGTCTCATGCATAGGTGAGCTTATATTTCCTATATATGTCTTTCATCAATGGGAAACAAAGTTCAAATAGCAGGGATGAGTATCTTGATTTTGTGTTTCAGTGATGGAGTAGATGAGTATGCAGTAAACAAGTTCCTCTCCCAAGTCTTTACCAGTGAAACTAGCTCACGTGGAAAAGTTTGTTCACTAGTCAAAGAATCTGCTTCTCGCAAATTTGATATGAAAGAAGAGGTATTCTCTATGGACGTTTTGAATATACAATATCTGAAACTCGGCAAAATCACTGGTTTGCTTAAGTTCTATCAAGTGTAATTGTATGATCGTGAATGTTCTTAGGCCTTCAACACAGCGACCAAATAAAATGAATCGTGTACCTTGCATTTTTTTCACAGTAGGTCAGTGCCTTATTTATTTATTTATTTATTTATTTGTTTTGTGTGTTGTAAGGTGATGCTCACGCTTCTAACACAGTTGGAGTTAGGGGAAGTGCAATACTTGCGCCTACTTCCACAAGTAAATGTTACATGCACTGTGAATTTCTACAAGGTTGGTTTCATATGGGAATCTATATCTCCTATGTTCTTGATACCCTTCTTTTGTATGCTTGCCATTTCTAGCGGCTTCATAATTATTCCATGAGTATTGGGGTCCCCCCCTCCCCCTCCCCTTTTACTTTAAAAGGTACCTGCACATATAACCTGGAAACGAACTCAAGTTGTGAACTTGTATCCAGTGTTTAGGACTTGGATTCCCAGTTTACTGGCTTGATGTCATTTTTGTTCCAAGAAAGACGGCTAGCTGTGCTTCTTATTAATTGTATTGGTCTTAGATTTGATCGCACACAGTGTTGATGCTTTGAGATGCATAAATGCAGACTGCACCAGGGCTACTTGCTGACAAGGATACCGTGGTTTTTGCAATCCTCAAAAGGTCCGCTCAGTTTCAACTTTCTGATTGCAACCTTGTAAAGCATTTATCCAATATCCATTGTTTTAGAATTCTCCTTTGATCATATGAAACCATTTTTCAGATGTGAAACTAAGCAAGGAGAACATGTTTTTGACATTCCTTCAGTGGCAAATAGCATTGGCATCTCAATTACTGAGTTGTCTGATCACCTCTTGAATCTGAAGGTTTGAAACCTAGAGCACTCCAAAATCCTTCTTTTAATCTCTATGATTGCACTTTTCATTTGGAAAGGGTTGACTCTTGACTTTGTACGAGGATGGGAAACATGATTTACAGCTTCCAAACCCATCAAACTAAATGCATTCCATCCAAAGTTACTGTGGATATACTTTGTAGTGTTTCAGATGTTTAATTTGAGTGGGCATTTTCTCTGCGGAATGTTGGATGATCCAGTTCAAAGGAGAAATAACATACGAGGTTAAGGACCCAGCATTTTGTTATATACTGGTGGAGGTCCCCAAGGATGTGAGCTCCCTTTCCACACATCTCACCAAATGGCTAGCTGAAGTCGAACAGTGTAAGGTATTTGATTCCGGATATATCTCCTTAACATAATATGCTTAAACCTGTAGCCATGGGTTATAAAAATAATTGTGAAATCGTAAGATCTGAAATGTTTCTGGTCACATTTGACTCTCCTTTTTGTTCTTCTTGGTTAGTGGATTTATGTAATTCTTTTTTCCTGCAGGTAAGAAGGCTACAGGAAATCCATGATGCTGTCCAATTCACCACGAATGGTTGCAATAAGACTGCAGGTTGCAATGGCGCTGACCACACAGCATGCCTGCAGAGAAGGATTCTCAACTACTTCAATGAAGATACAGAACACGAAGTTGCAGACAAGACCAGTCAAATCAGGTCAACTCCAGATTCTTTTCTTTGTTTTCTTCTGTTGTATTCAGTTACTGTAATTGGTGTACAAAATGCTGACCAAAGAATGGGGTTTATCCATTGCAGCCCATTTCTGCGAGCAGATATAAAGGTGAGACAGTTCATTTATACTAAAGCGTTGGTAGCTTGTACCCCAAGCTAGTATTTCTGTGCAGTTGCTAAAGAGATAGCCATACTGTTGCAGGTTTTCCTGCAGAGCAATGCGCATGCAAAGTTTACACCCCGAGCTGTTGCGAGAATAATGCACGGCATTGCCAGTCCAGCTTATCCTTCATCGACTTGGGCTGGTGCCCATTTCTGGTATGTCAAGACTTGTTGGATGTTGGACTAAACTAAAAACTCATAAAATGTCCTTTAAACAGAACCACATTGATAACACATTGGTCTGGTGCATTCTGAGTCGATTGTAACTCGGTCCATCCTTTGGTAACTACTTACAAACATGCCACTTGGTCGAAATTGAGCCAACAAAACGCCAGCCTTTGCACGGTCTGGAGGTTGTACTGAATCCGAAAGTGTGTGGATGTTTGCAGGGGACGGTACACCGGAACTGATTTCGAAGTGGTAATGGAAGCTGCGAAGGCAGAGTTAATTAAGTGCGTCGGGAAGGATGGCTCAGTACCTGTATAGAGCTGGTAAATTTTACATCATATACATTCAGTTGGCTTGTTACAGCTGGGTAAGACGGCGTGAAGGAGTTCCCGAAACGACGACGTCGTCGTCTGTGAGATTGGTAAAGGCATGGATCAAGTGAAATTGTTCCGCCGCTGCTTATCCGGGGTACCTTACACGTCAAGGCAATTTGCTTGCTGTGGCGTAAAAGGGTACACCAGCTACTTTGGGCTGAAGTTACGGAAACGGTGCCGTATGATTGGAAAGTATAAAGAAACAGGATAGGAGCTTCTGGAGTTTATGTGCTACGTAACAAAGCCGGGGCCTACAAGTTTCAATGGCAGACGTTTCGGTAAAGCTCTGCTCGTGTTAGGTTTCCCAATTCCCACCCAAACCTTTCAAAAGAAGAGTCACAGGTTGTTGAATAGTTGATTGTCCCTACACAACTCAGATCAATGTCACACATATCATTAGAGTATTGAGTAGTAATTAATATTATTATTATTATTATTATTATTATTATAGTATATTATGAGTACTATTTCTGTAATTTCTTATAGTCATATTCCTTATTAATTTGGGTTTGTATGTTAGATTTCTACAAGTTAAGTGTTTTTCTATTGGTATTAGGGTTATTATGAGAATTTATTATTTTTATAAATTTGTGTGGTTCAATAATAAGATATAATAGTTTCTATTCTTTCATCGAACAGATACATAAACATGTGACTCAAGTGGTAAGGAACAGGGTTTGCCACAATGTTCTTTCTCCCTCAATTCTCATAGCTGATCATTATGACACAGTTTATTGATGACCAATGATAACTCAAATGAATTTAACTGGTATCAAACATTCATGAAACTTATGGTAATCTTAAACAAATGCTTCAATAATCACAATGTGAAATTGTACCGCAAGTTGTTCCAAAAAATTTAATGATAAGATATTTTATACTTAACATTATGATTTAATTGTGATTCAATTATTTCTTATCGCTAAAATCACTATCATTTTGATTTTCGTATTTGGTATTTTCGATACGACGACCAATATAGTAGGGTTTCTCAAGGAAAAAGTGGGCAAGTGAAGTGAGGGCCTAGTGGTGGACCCCAAGGCAAATGATAAAATTGGTAATGGTTAAAAAGAATTGGGAAAAAATAAAAGAAAAGGTAGGGATGGTAATGGGTCGAGGCGGATAGAGTATATCCGTTATTCTATCCAAAGTAGTTCGTGTTTTACCCATACTCATACCCATTCTCGCTTAACAATCGAATCAGAAAATCAAAACGATGCTCATATCGTTCGGATTTCGGGTATTAACGGTTATCCATGAGTAATAACTTCTCGAACTCTTACCAACATCTTAATATTCACATGTATAATCACATTATAAGTGGAAAAGTATGAAAATAGTCACTAGAACGAAGAAAATCAATTGAAAACAAAACAATTTTATGAAATTATTATATTTGTATGTTGAATATAAAATATGTTTAGAAAAATAATGATCATTTCCAAACAAAATACATATGAATGTGTATAATCGGGCGGGTTCAAATTATAAAGTGTGAAAACCATGTTCACCCATTATCTACAATATTCGAGTTATTTATCCATATCCATTGAAAATCCTTCTAGTTCGAATTTTACCATAGCCGAATAGGTTGAATTCAGAAAGATATCCACGGTTGCTATTTGGCGGGTTTGTGATGCGAAGCAGAGGGTATATTCGCGACATAATTTGACGAGAACTAGCTGGGCAATCGGCATATTCAGTCAGTTTGCGCAAAGAAACAATTTCGAAGGCCGGAGTCTGACTGCTGCGATCCCGTTAGTCCGACACGACTGCGCCAAGGAGAAGGGCCGAGAATTTACCATTGATTTGGGGGGCAACGAACAGAAGTTTCAAGCAATCAAAAGAAGAAAATCGGAGAAACCTAAATCAAAATTCCTTCTTCGCTTTCTCTTTCTCTTCTTCCTAAGCAACCAAACGCCCTTCTTATTCCTTCCTGCCTCGTGTGTCGCTCACTCTCTCAGCTGTAAATATCGAAGGGAAATTGAGCGGAGAGAGGAAGGAATTGGGAGGGAGGGGTTTCGGGTTTGGGGAAGGTTGGAAACGACCTAGAGGTGAGATGGGGGATGCCGGCGATTCGGGGTCTTTGGATCAGACCGTTGGGTCTTCTTCTTCGCACTCGTCCACCTTTTTCACTAATTACCCGCTCATCGCTGCAATTGTCGCCTTCACAATTGCGCAAGCTACCAAGTTCATCACCTCCTGGTACGTTCATCTTTCTACTACTTTGAATTTTCCCCTCGCGTGGCAATTTTGGTTTGCTTGGCAGCTTTTCAGGATCTGGGTTTGTTTTCTTTCGTGAAAAAGCTATGGTATTTTGTGTTTGCCAGTGATTTGGATCTATTGCCGGTTAATTTCATTTTTCCTTTGATAAGATGATGTCCTGTTAGAATGCGAACCCTTTTAATGGTCTGTCTGTCCATGGCTGATTGTTATCTGGCGGGCATGATTGATTGATCTTGAGAATGTGATGAAAGGGAATGGGTTGGAATTTAGTTTGGTAGATGAATGAAACTAACTACCAGTCAACCCATGAAAAAGAAAGAGAATTAGTTGGTGAAAATATAAACACCTTTTGTAGCCATGTAATCAAGCTGATGAAGTTATTCTATGAATCGATCATATGCTTGTCGGTTTTGAACAACTGAGCTACAGGGAGCTAAAGATATTCTGTATTTTTATACCCATAAGAGACCCCTGAAACCCTCTTTAACTATTTGCAGTAAGCTTTTTCTGTTGGCATGTAGGTTGCTGATTGCTTTAGCTTATCTCTTAAGTGGCTTAAGGTTTCCTTAGATGTGCAGGTACAGTGAAAAAAGATGGGATTTGAAGCTGCTCATTGGATCTGGTGGGATGCCATCTTCCCATTCTGCGACTGTTTCTGCTCTCGCCATGGCCATTGGGTTCCAGGAAGGGTTTGGAGGATCACTTTTTGCCGCTGCATTGATCTTAGCTTGCGTTGTAAGATTTCTCTTCAGTCATATTGCAAACTTAAAAAAGACAGATCACTTTGTTGATGTGGATTCATTTTGTTTTGCAGGTGATGTATGATGCAACTGGTGTAAGACTACAAGCTGGACGCCAAGCCGAGGTTTTGAATGCTATAATACAATCCCTTTTGTACAATTGGTGGTAATCAATCCCAATCACTAGTTAATCAAATGAGCTTTTTTGCCTCAGGTCTTGAATCAAATTGTATATGAACTGCCAGCTGAACATCCTTTGGCTGAGAGCAGACCTCTGCGCGAGCTTCTTGGTCATACTCCTGCACAGGTAATAACACCACAAATATCTTAATGCTTATGTTTGTAGCTTTCTGACAGAGTTTTGAGTGTCTGTGAAGAAATGGAATGGTCAATATGAGACTAGTAGAGTTCTGGGAACAATCTTGAGTCTGTAGTGCTTAGTGCTTACCTTTGTGGATTATCTATGGTGATTGCTAGGTAGTGGCTGGTTGTTTGCTTGGAGTTGTCACGGCAATCATTGGCCATCTAATCACAATGACGACTAGTCAAAGCTGATACACGTCCAGGAAGATATTATTGTTTCCCCCTCAACACATCAAAGAAGTTAAAGTTCAGCTCACAGGGGATGGGGTGTTGTGATGCTCAGTTTGCTCAACTGTCCCTGCTAGTGGGTTCTTGAAAGCATACTTACCCTTCTGTTGAATCTGTTGCGTTCTTTCATTCTTGATAGCGATATTCGAGACTTCGTATATGTGATTAATTGCAGTATATTACTGAAAGGGTTATTGGAAATCATGATAGTCAGTCAAATGTACCATATGCTCGAACTGGCACATAATGCTTGCATGTTTGACATGAAATTCACAGGAATTTAGGGTTCGTGATGGAGTTTCTTTGTGTTCATTATTATCCAATTGTTATTGTTGAAATAAGTTGCTATGACCCATGTTGATGGCTGCTGTTTAGGATCTTTGAGACAGAAAGAAAAGGAATGGGACTCGGACCTCCTCCTCTCTCTTTTCTTTTGTTTCGATAGCTGGGAGCTCTGTCCTGTGTCCTCACATAGTCACATGGTAGATTGGACAGAGGTTCACGTGGTAGGGCTAAATGTCCTATAGCGTTTGTTTTCGATCCCATGTTCTTGAATGATGTATTTAAAGACGACTTTTTTAGTTTATTGAATTTGTAAGAAATATATATATATATTTATAATGGTGATATATGTTTATCTTTTTTTTGGGATTAGGGGTACTATTACTAAAGGGATTTGAATTTGGGAGTAAGAATCATTATTACTGGAAAAAGGTTGGACTCGAGAAATAAACAAATTGTAGAAAGTGAAGTATTGGTGTTCGAAAGTTGGAGTCGGGTTATGGATTTGATTATTTAATTTGCAAACTGTAAGCAAACTAGTATAAAATTGGATTTGATTAACAAAATGTAAGCAAAATGGTATAAAATTGGAGGTTTGTTATATCTCGTTCTAAATTGTGAGTATTCGAATTGGCACCTCAAAATTTGTCGAATTCATGGAATTTACAAAATTAAGACCTAAAACATTAGGTATCAAGCATGATTTTAGACAATCAACAATTGTTCGAATACCAAAGACTTCTTTCAGGAATGCATTGGTCAAATATTTTTCCAAATTAGGTGTCTTTTAGAATGAATCTCTTTATATTTTGAAATTATTTGGACATGACCAGGAAATTGGCTACTAAGCAAGTATATCTTTGACTTTGAATATCGTTACTGTCAATCCAACCTGTTCCAAGCTCACTAAACATAACTGATAAGAAGGGTAACAAAGCTACATACATTCATGATTTTTAATTTCATCAGTCCCTTGGGTACATCGGATAATTTGATATCTGTATAGAAACAAGAGACCTTGTGAGCTATACGTATATACCTGAACAAGAATTGAACTGAGAAAACCAATGACTACAACAACTGCAACAAGAAAAGTTTCCAAACACAATACAGTCACTGCAGGCTCAAGACAGCAGAGAAAATGCTTCTCATCTCCGATATCGTATCCTCATCAACACCGGATTTCACACGCCAAGCGATGTGTTCATCTGGCCTGACTAAGATCGCTCCATCATCAGACATTTCACACATATCCCACCATGATACTAGGTTAGTACCCAATTTCTTAACTTCCGCTACATCGATGAAGTTGGTCCAGGGAGACAACGGGCTCTCGCTCTTCCCTTCGGTTCCCACATTAGTATCTGCAGGCCACACTATGCAGACCTTAACAGAAACTCCAAATTCTTCTGCTGCTGAGAATGCAGCTCGAGCAAGCTGATAGGATTCATTGTGGGGTCCAATGATAAGAAGAAACTCGAGTTTGTCCATGGGTATGAGATCATGCGTGGAAAGAGTCACCTAGGGAAGCAGGAATGATTCAGAGAAATGAACCTGGTTGAGATCTTAAACGGGCTGTTGAAGAAGTGATAAACAATTGCATTACCTTATTAGTTGGCGAATTTGACAATGGCCTTATGTATGTGTGGGGCAGCCTGGAACCTGGATCTGCAGAAGGAACATACTCCCTTCTTCGGCCACTTGGTGGTTCTACTGTAGTACTGGCACCATTGCCATCTGAAATGAGTGCTCCCTCAAGATACCTGAATTTCATGTATGAATGTTCCAGTAAGATCCTACTGAATGACGAGTGGTTAACTAAGCAAGTCAAGTATCTTAGGTTGGCATATAAAATTGATTAGAAAACCTAGGAATTCATCTGTAGACCCATAATTATAGGTAACTTGAACTTTTAGTGTAACTGCCTATGATTATAAGCTCACGTATTAAGTTGCACTACACAATTAAGTTCATGTATTTTATATATACTTGTAAGCCTACATGAGTTGGACCGAAAATTTAGTTCATATATCAAATTGCTCAAAACTCAGCAGTTGAGGGGTGCAGGCGTGCAGCCAAAATTTCTCAACTAATAAGTAGTATACCTAAAGCCAAGATCCTCTGCAGGAAACTGGAGTTGGAGACTTTTCCCTTCTTCGAATATACGTCTCAGTTTAGATAGCCTTGAAGATCCGACCGGGTTATTTTCATTCAGAAGAAACTCCGAGGTCTGTGCCCGGCCAATGGAGAAAATTCCATCCAACATCACTTTCTGTAGTGCAGATGGGAATAAAGTACCAAATCCAGCCGAAATTACTTGATGCACTGCAGCCAAGCAGAAAGAAAACATGGAAGTATTGTCGTGATGTTAACCAAGAAAGATTTGCACCAAAATGTACTTCAAAGTTACCAGAATTTGCAACCGTTGGATTGAGACCAATTGCAGCAGGAACTGCCATAGCTGCTCTGAAGTTTTTCACACTAAGTTCTGTATTAATAAGTGCTGTCTGAGGGCCAAGAAAATAGTGTAGGTCAAGGATATGCACAGGTTGTGAAACAATGATAAGACGAGTACAGTTGAAAAGCAATACCGGCCTTCTTTCAGTTTCATAAGTCTTGAGTATTGAAGATGGGGAAATGCCCTTTACAAAGGCTGCTATTTTCCACGCAAGATTATGAGCATCCTGAATACCCGTGTTCATTCCTGTAATGAAGGCACCATTTTGGTTAGCCCCAACAACAACAACAAAAATATATCTTGGTTTCAGTTTTGGTTCCTGAAATTTATTTATATTTTCACTGAAATTTCAACCGAACTTAAAACAAGGTACTTGTGAAAGTAGGAAACGAACCAAAATCATTCAACATAAAAATAAAATAGATTGCTACAGTTCCAAACCCAAGAAACAAATGCAGGAAAATTAAAGAACCAATAGTGGAAGTGTAAGTACAAATTTCAGCATGTTTAAGATATAATAAAATTTCATCAATACATCAAATAAATTAGACTAAGTTTATTACAAAACAATTTATAACTTTTAGCAGATTCCATCAATGCCGAAACCTCCTTAAGGCTTCAACAAATTTTGGTTTGGTTTTGGTACAGAAAATAAAAACAAAAACCAAAAACATTGAAACTCAGTAGCAGAAACTGATTTCAATACCAAATAATTTGCTTTTGTTTAACCAAAATCCAAAAACCATGCGCACTAACTCATACATAAACTTAACGCAGACTAAAACTTACCAAAACCACCAGCCGGAGGGAATCGATGGGCAGCATCACCGACAAGTATTACTCGATTGTTACAGCATACAAACTTCTCAGCAACTTCAGCATGCATCACCCAGGGCTTTATGTCGATCACTTCAACATCCGAAAGCTCTTGGCCAGCCAATTTGAAGATCAACTTCTTGCAATTCTATGAAAAGTTGATCTGTTGTAAGAAACCATATTTGACGCTTCAGGAATTGTTTACTCGCACATAAGTTAAATGACTATATCACTTGATCTTTTTCTTTTAAGTTTTAAGTCTTGGCAGCGAGATAACAACACAAAATGTAGAGGGTCTTGTTCTATGTTTGAAGCCTCTCTAGTCTCTACAGGAACAGAAAGTACCTCAGAATTGAAATCATCAAGGTTTTGCTGAGGTGGATAGAAAGGCATCTGAATGATAAAATCCATGAAACAAGAGTGTAATCATCAGCATATGATATTGATAACCCTTAAAAACAAACGAATAGGTACAATCATATGTTCAAAAATTCTTCATAGACTTGCATACCTGCAACACAAATTCTCCATCCTTGACATCATGAGCCACAAGGACACCAATGGCTTCAGTATTGAAAATAAAGAACAGCATCCCAGGTCTTTCTTTCAGCAGGTAATCTCCGAGATCCCTGCTCCGAAAATGAATGCTGACTAGCTTCTGCAAGTCCTTTTCGCCACTCAGCTCTATCCCCACAAGGCTCCTAATTCTACTTCCAGCACCATCAGCACCAACAAGGACACGGCATTGGATTTTTTCTTCCTTCTTATTCCCGTCCTTGATTTGAGAAGTAGTCACAGTAACGTATTCATCGATGGTATTATCAATAGCCACACACTCGTGACCAATTAACAGCTCATTTCCCAACAAACTTAAACTTTGCAGCTTCTTAAGTAGTAATTGATTCAGCTTGTACTGAGAGAAGTGAGCAACAGAAGTTGGGCTGACAACTTTTTCAAAATCTGTTAGATAAAATAGTATAATGAATCAATCTCCCAAATCCTAATGATTACTTTCAATCTTGCAATATTATCAGGAAAAACGTTGGGGGCCTTGTGTAACAAACACCTTGAGGTTGCATGTGGTCCACTGAACCGAGAATTCGACCAGTGAGCGAGGTGCAGTATATGAACTTCCTCCATAGATCAACAGCAGGCTGTGACTTCTCTATCTCCTCTGCCAAACCATCCAATTTTCGGAAAATCTACCAAAACCCAAAAAGGACAGGAAAATGAGCACTGCAGTAATGGATTTTCACAACATCTCTTAACAATATGAACAACGAATCCAACCTCCATAGATCGGTTGTTGATGAAATGTGCTTGAGGATGGCTCGAAAATTCCGTCCTCCTCTCCAATACTGAGCATCTCACCCCTGAAAGTTCCACGGGACACAAAACAGATATACATTTCAGAAGCAGCTTTCAGTCAACCACCATTACTAAAACGATCAGACGTCAGCTCAAAATCAGAAATAAACCAGCACTCTCTACCCACCCGCCACCCGGTACATTGATCAGGAAAATCCCCCAGTAGCAACTTATAATAAAAGAACGGAAACCAAATTCCAGAACAGAACCCATGCCTCCAAAGAAACCCACTGATCAATGCCAAATACTAACATAGCAAAACAGGAAGAAATGAACAGAAATGATGAGGAAGAAAAGAGTTTTCCCTCGAAAGCATACCCAATTTCTTCAAAAGTATGGACAGAACAAGACCCACGGGACCAGCACCGACGATCAACACTGGAAGTACTGCATCATCATCGGCAATGGAGCTACTGGAGATCGAAAACTCTCTGCTTCTTCGAGCAAAACAATAAAGTGGATGAATCTTCGTTCTGGGTTTCGCTCTATGAAAGCAGCTTAAACCCTTCATAAACCCAGAAATCGCCATAAAGCTAGGAATTGAGAAGCGAACGACTTCTTCTTCCCGGTCTTCACAAAGAAGCCACGGAAATTGCGTCGTAGCTTGGAACAGCAAAGAGGTAATCGATGGCAAATGTTTGAAGTAGCCAGTGGGCCAACTTTCTTGTGGAGGCCCGTTAGTTGGATTGGGCCTAACTCCAAAAGTAGCAAGAGGAACGTGGGCAGAACGCACAAGGATTGGGCTGTCGGTCTTTGGGGGCATTTGTAAGGCGTTTAGAGTGACCACGTGGGGCCCTTCCAACATGCCACATGTCCAGTCGTTCTCAGAAACTGAATGACAACACCTTGCATATGGTTTTACAATCTCAAGAACTAAATTATTTATAAATATTCTCGACGCTTATCATCATGGTAGAATTAATAAGGAAAAAATAAATAAAAATAGGTGTATCGAAAATATATAGTAATGTCTAGTTTTTATCCAAACGTTTTAGTAGATTTTTTTTTATATTATTCAAATCTATTGAAATACTAAGAATTAGTCTAATACTAATTTTCAGTTAGCAATTTTGTTAGTAATATTGACTTGACAACATGATACTAACTTGGAAGAGACACGTGAAAGTTAACATTCCAAAATTTTAGTATTTTAACTAAGAAAAGAGTTACAAATTTATTAACAATAACGTAAAAATGGCTACTATTTTGATGCATTACGAAAGATTTGGCTAATTAATAGCATTTTAATAGGTTTGGATAATATAAAAGAATTTGAAAAATATTTGGATAAAAAATAGACATTACCCAAAAATATAACTACGCTTAGGTTGTGAACTTGGTTTAGTTCATTAGCATGATCGAGCAAGTGAGTTGATTGGTAATGGTCCAATCGCTTTAGCTTGGATATATGAAAAAGTCATTATATTTTTCATGCATTTAATTGTATAAAGGCGGGTGCAGCTCTATGAATAGGGGATGTTGTGCAAGTATCTACCGGACCTAAATTATCAATAGGTTCTCCAAGCGCATTGAACTTTTGACCTAGAGTTGCTCCGTTGACATGAACACTTAAGGCAGTTCCTTTGTCAATTAAATTGTGTCAAATGTCATCTAAATATGGTAATTAACAAAATAACATATCATAGTTGGATCCAACACAGTGAAAATTCAAAACACACTCATATAACATCAATATCCAAATATTCAACTCAGAAATCCAAATATAGGGCTAGACGAAGAAGAAAACAAAAAAATATACGCAATTGACAAACCAAAAAGGAATCTTGCAACGGATCGACACTCGAATGAGTGATACTTGTTTTTCTCACTTGGTCCATATCAAACCGGATCACTCCCATAAACAACCTACCTGTGAATTGACAACCTTAAACTGCTTACATAATTTGATGAACCATGTTATGTCGTATATTCTCTTTATTTAGCAATTACTGGTAGCCAGTCGGCAAATATGAAAATAATCAAACTTTAGAAATACCACGATGGTTAATTATTGTTGGCCAATCATCCTCTCCACAACTGCCATCTCATTCTCATCATAACACATGTGTAGCCAAAATTTGTAGAGGGTCCATTCACTTTCTCGGGGGAGAAAAACAGAAATTCCAGCTGAGCTCACTCTGAAAGAAGTAGACGTATGTTGAGAGACCTAGAAAATGTGACACTACAAAACAATCGAAATCAGAAGCCTCCAATCATGTCCACGTGAAAAGCCCCACACAAACCCTATCTCTCTCTCATGGCAATAAGTCGAATGGGTACCTCAATATTCATACTCATTAATAGATTATGTGTGAATTAATTGAGTCCAATTAATTAGAGAAAATTTGAGTTAATGTAAGTCAAGATAGCAAAAATATAAATAAATATTGAGATAAATCGAGATCAAATAAGGCACGAACTGAACGAAACAGAGAAGGATGAAAATAATAGGTTTAATACACTGGCATATGCCATAACTTTCGCGGTTTTGACAATAATAGCCAAATTTCAAAAAATACACAAATATAGCCATGCTTTTGAAACTAGGTTGACAACTTTAGAAATGTCGTCAGTTAAATGGATGTTAATCTGATGTGGATGCCACCTAGACGAAACATCAGCTCCAACTAGACTCGTTATGCCACGTGGATGCCACCTCTTATTTTGAAAAAAATATAAATAAACTCCAAATAATTTCAAAAAAATATAAATAAACTCCTTCTCGACGGGGAGTCCCGACGACCTCGGCGTCGGCGGTGGCTGGACCCAATTCTGCGATTGCAAACACAAAATCGACTGACAAAATTAGCTCTTTTAAGTGTCTCTCATCTCCTACAAAGCGAACACCATATCAAGAACCTTCCTTACCTTGCCTAGATAAGTTTGTCCACTGACGAGAAAAATCCAAATGCCAAAATTCACCTCTGACGATAAGAATTCCCACTGAACTCATCACCAATAAATCCACCTCAGACGACTAATTCAACCCACTTCAAACAGCATAGAAACCCTACAATTTCGAATCTCACATTCTATCAAGCAAGAAAGCAAAAATTGAAAAAGTCTCGATTTTGACGCAGATTTGATAAGGGGTAGCGGCGGGCCGGAGGTCTACGATGATCTCAATCTCTCTGGTGAGCTGTGGAGTTCTCGGTGAAGGAGATTGGAAAAGGCGGTGGCAGATCTGGAGACGATATGCGGCCGCAGACCCGTGCCTCTAAGACCACGACCAGATCTGAAAATCGGTGTCGGAGCCAGCCGAGCATTGGCGGTGGTTGGGGTTTCGACAATCGACGTTGCGGAGTGGCTCTCGTTCTCTCTGACCTGTTTCACTCCGAGCCGAATGACGAACAGAGGAGAATGGTGGATGAAGCGGCAACGACGATTGGACGGCTCGAGTGCACCAAGTGGGATCCCCGTCGGCCGGTCATCGTCTCCTTTGTCGAACGCGGCGTCGGCGACTGACCGGCAACTCATCGCTCGAGTTAGTCGTGGAGTGTCCGAGGAATCAGGTGCTGGTCACCTCCCGGTCTCTTCCTTCCCCTTCTTCCTTCTTTTCCTACTAGGGTTTTTGGGATTCAAATTAATTTGGGAGTTCAGATATGAAGTCGGAAGAAGGAGGGGGATTTGGTTTTTCTAATGAAACTTTGAGTGGGCAGCGAGACAAAATGGATTGGAAAAAGGAAGGCAATGCTTGATCCCGCTCGTTCTCGTTCTTCGAGTTACCCAATGGCGCCGGCGGAGAAGAACTTTCAATCCCGCTGCTACTCGTGCAAAGGAAACCCAAATTCTTCTTCAACCTCGTCTATAGAGCAAGTAAGCAGGTCTGGATCGATGATTGTGTAGCATCCACATGGAAATTGTGATTAAACAGAGAAATAAGAGGGAGGATGAAGGAAAGGAGGTGGAGGGAATGGTGGCGGAGCTTGGGTATGGAGGTGGCGGTACGAAGCTTCGTGAAAAGGGGGAAGATGATGAGTCTTTATTTTATTTTATTTTATTTTGTTTTACTTTATTTTATTTATTTATTTATTGTTTTCTAATTAATTGTAATATAAAGGATATTTTCACGTGGCAAAGCTTTTGAGAAAAAGTTGCCACCTCATAGAAAATCGTTAGTCCAGTCAGCGTCTATCTCAATGTTGTTAACATTATGGACAAAATGGCTATTTTAGTGTATTTTTCAAAAAGTGACTATTATTGTCAAAACCGCGAAAGTTATGGCTATGCCAGTGTATTAAACCAAAATAATATCCATATCATGTCCCCCATCCCACACTATTTTGAATTGAATATTATCAGCTTCAATACAATTCAGATCGAATAATACACGACCATCCTTCCAGCGATTATTCTACTAAGGGGTCGTTTGGATGGATCAATTGTAAAACGAGACAATTTGACCAATTGTTTTATTTTACAAAACGAGTCATTTAAAACGAGTCAATTCAGATTACCTGCCCCCACCCCAGACAATTGTAATTGGCTCAAAATGAGTCAATTCAGAATTCCCCAACCCAAATTGCTTTATCCAAATTTTCTGCTGCCAAACGGATCAATGTAGCACAATTGACTCAAAACGAGACAATTATGTCAGATTGATCCATTAGAATTCCTCATCCAAACGACCTATAAGTTTTATAACTTTACATATTATCAACCGGCTTTTTCAGCTTGATCTCCACCGTCCACGTGTCACCTACCTTTTTACTGCACCTCCTCAACAGGCAGCCTCCCCAGTTACCGTTAAAGCGGCCAACTACCTTTTAAAAAATTGACTTCTCTGCCCGTTCCTTCTTTTGGGTGGACTAGGAACTTAAGCCCTGAGGGGTGTGTTGCAAAAAGAGAAGGGAAAAGGGAGAAAGAAAAGTTAAACACAGAATTCAACGTAAAATATGGTCTACCTCTATTTGTAGATACTTCGAGAACTATCAACTATGTACAATTTACGATGGAATCAATTCGTTATTAAACCTTTGTATACTACAACGTTTTAATCCTCCGCGTTTCAGTATCAGACATTGATACGAATAGTCGAGATCTGTTCCACGAACATCCATTCTTCCATTAGAGCATATCAATATTCTTAACTCAATCTAAAATAGGGTTCTATATTGAAGAAAAAAGGTGTTGATGACGGAGAAGGTACATTAATATAACCCCAAACGCTCTCTTTGTTCCACACTTTCATTCCACCCATCTTTTGATCTCTTTCAAGTTTCACCCCACTAGTGGCATTCATGTTGAACCTTTTTGTTGGTTTGTTTTATAGTGCTGAGATTTTTGGCGCAAGTTTCAACCATGCAGTCACTGCTGGCTTAAAGTTCAGTTCTTTATGTGCAATGGATCTGACCCCCCTCTCTCTCTCTACAGCTTTTTCCTAGTTTTGCCAGCCACAAGCACAACCCTCATGGAGTCATGGTTTTGAGGGAGGGAATAATCATTCTCATTTTCCTCTTTGTATAGATTTCCAACCTCTACTCTCTGTTCCACCTCACTTGCCCTAAAAAAACACCCACAACCTCACCCAAATCTCACATTCTTTTTTACTGCTTCCCCTTCACTCCCATGGCTGCTGCAGCCAATTTATGAGCCCTTTGGTACCTTCTGCATCCAATTTTTACTGTATACATCACCATTTCCAGAGGGTCCCCTGTCTGCAGAGAAAAAAACCTCTCTGTTTCAGATATCACTCTCTGTGGCCTTTCTTTCTTTCTTTCTTCCATTTGGGTCAGAGAGCTTTCAAGCAAGCTGTTGGGAGCAGCTGCCCACTCTTTCTTTAAATGTGTCCTCTCAACTTGCTCATGTTACTCCTTGAAAAGATTTACCTTGCAATCTTCGGTTAGTCTCTATACTCTCTTGGCTTCTTCCTCCCCATTTCACTCCTTTGAGATCTGATAAATTTTTGTTATATAAATCTCCTTTATGAACCCAATCTACCACATGGTCTAGTCAATTTGTGGACCAGTTTTCTTTCATACATTCTGGATTTGGGTTTTGGACCATTCTCTCTGTATCATATCATCCACCATCTCAATCTCAGGTTGATAGAGGAAGTGAGAACAGAGTGACATTGTTTGTTACCTGCTCTGTTTGTGTGTGAGAGAGGGAGAGAAGATGAGATCTGTTGAGGATAAGGCTGAGATTTCGAGCAGTAACGGCACGATTAGCTTCGAGTTTCATAAAGGCAGCAGGACGAACAAGTCGGGTGGCGGCGGCGGTTCCGGTGGTCAGAACCGTCAGCAGCACCACCGGATTGCTTTGGGGAAGCCGGCGCCGTCAAAATGGGACGACGCCCAGAAATGGCTGGTGGGGTTGTCTCGCGGCGGAGGAGAAAAGGGTCACGGTGGCCAGCAGCCGAGGAACTCCAACGCCGACGACCGGCGGTTGATTGCGCCGGTCCCGCAGCAGGAGCTGGAGGAGGAGGAGGAGTATCCAAACGGCGGCGGGGAGTCCGGCGAAGATCAGGAGAACGGTAGGGTTTTCACGACGAAGAAAGTAGAATGCGACGAGTCGATTTGGAGGGCGAACAAGCCGGCGGTCGGCGTTCAGAGCTCTGCTCCGCCGCCGATCAGATCGATTTGCGTCCGGGATATGGGGACGGAGATGACCCCGATCGCGAGCCAGGAGCCGTCTAGGGCCGCGACTCCGATCAGGGCCACCACGCCGGCGGCAAGGAGCCCGATCTCGTCGGGATCGAACACTCCGGCGAGAGGGGCCCACAATGGGTACCAAATTGGTGTAGAATCGGCTGCCAATGGTGGCGGTGGTAGGGTTTATTACGGCGAGACGAATGGTACTGCTCCGGTTGTTGTTACAACGAAGGTGGAAGATTCGGGCCACCGCGATGAGACCACAGCGACGACAACTGGAGTGATGAGTCCGTTGGAAGCGAGGGCGGCGGCTTGGGATGAAGCTGAGTGTGCCAAGTACATGGCAAGGTAATTAAATGTTGGGAGTATGATCTGGTTTTATGACGAATTCGTTACGATCTTGCTTTGAATTGCTAGTCTCTCGTCGATCTGGACCGAATGTGATGTGACTAATTTTGAAGAAATGTGGTTACATATGTGTACAGGTATAAACGTGAGGAGGTGAAGATTCAGGCGTGGGAGAATCATGAGAAGAGGAAAGCAGAGATGGAAATGAGGAAGATGGAGGTAATCATTTGCTTTGAGCTTTGATGAATCTTTCTTTCCCTGTGGATTGGATTCTGTCCTGTGATTTGTGGTCAACAGAATCTTGCTGTCCAAGTCTTTGTTTCTTTTCTCTTATCTGCTTTGCCTTTTGGGTACAAAAAGGGTAGAATCTGGACCTTTTACGCATTGAACAGAATCTTGCTGTCAAGTCTCCAACAGTGATGAAACATTACCAATTTGATTGACAACGATGATGATCTGTGGTTCGATCGAGATATTCCTGGCCGGTACAGATCGATTATATAGCACCAAATTGCAAATGAATGAATGGATCAGTTGGGTAGCTGAAGATCCATCTGTTGTTCGGGGTCTGATCCCGAACCACAATCCAATTGAATTGACTGACAGTGGCTGTTGTTCGTTCGATCTTGGTCTCGTTGCAGGTGAAAGCGGAGAGAATGAAGGCTCGAGCACAGGAGAAGCTGAGCAATAAACTGGCGACGACGAAGCGAGTTGCCGAAGAGAAGCGAGCGAATGCAGAGGCGAAGCTGAACGAGAAAGCTGTGAGGACTTCGGAGAGGGCTGATTACATCAGAAGAACAGGGCACTTGCCTTCTTCATTCTCCTTCAAGCTCCCTTCCCTTTGCTGGTAAAAAACAATAAAATCAAGCAGTAAAAAGAGAAGGGGAAGTGTATTTCATATCAATCTTTCAACCATTGTATGACTGTGGACATTGCTGCATTTTGCTTTTCTTGTATAAGAATAAGAAAGTGTAACTTTTGTGGGAATGTGGGTTGTATTCGTTCTTGATAAGTGAGGGAAAAAAATGGCTGGCCTTTCGGAGATATAAATCGTTCTTACCGGATTCAATTGTTAACTGTTTCTATCGGAAATAGGATTGACTACGGATTCGAGCCATAGCATATGGTTTCATAAAAGCATATGCTTTTCCCAGTTGGTCTATACCAAATCGAATCAAATTAATGTTTACATTAGATCATACTGATTACCGAGCTGAATATAACATGGTTCGTTTCAAGAAAAATGATTAGAAGTGACATTTAAATCGGTCCAAATAGGGCTGAATGTAATTTTAGTGTGACCTTAAATTCTAAAATGTCTTTCACTATTGGATTACGATTCTCATAAGTTTGATCTAGTGATGTCCGGGAGACTGAATCGAAAAAAAAAGAGAGGCGCTCTCTCCTCTCTCTTCATCTTGTGCTCGCTGCTCGGGAGATGGGTCTCACGGGCCGCCGCCGCCGCCGTCTTCGAGACCAGCTGGCGGAATGATAGAACGTGGGATTAGGGTTCTATCGGGAATTGGGGATTTAGGGATTAAGAATAGAATTAGGAATTTGAGAAGAGAAAGATAGAGAATCGGCCTAGGCCTTTAGAGGGATTGGGAACGAGAATTGAGAGGATTGGGAGAATAGGGTTTTAGAGAGTTTTCTTATTATTCTTCTTATTCCTCCTGAATAAAACGCAAAGTACATATTTATAACGAATGACTGGAAAAACCTAATAGACTGTCCTAATATGACTCAAAGACTACTAACCATATCTAGATAATTTCTAATATTATAATAATGATAATTATGATAGAGCCTAAAAATTAGGTTTCTATCATCCCCTCCCCCTTGAGAACAACCTTGCCCTCAAGGTTGACCGACTCGTCCCACTTTTCCACGCCATCCCAGCAAACCGCACCTTGGCTCCTCGATCTATTGCGCTTCATTTTCTTCCAATCCTGTTCGACCCCTCGAACGAACTCATCTCGCACAATTCCAACCTTCCTTGACCTTTTCGAACAATGTGACACATGTCACGTTCTTCATAGCCGAAGAATTCTTCTTTCTCTCTTGCGAAGTCCACGAAATAAAAATCGGAGAATTGTTCTTCCTTGTGCTCCAACTCGAGGACTTCAAGACTATATTCCATAAATTTCTCTGTGGGCTTGGTGGTGAAAACAACCCATAACTTTTCCCCACCTTCTTTTCCTTCCTCTTTGACTTGGGCCACAAATGCTTGGAAGATAGGGTGGCGACCCAAACCAAAGTCAAGTTTCTCCCTACTCCACTTGTCTATCAACGTGAATGGGCCTGACTTATTTAAAAGCCCACTTATTAAGCTCACCATGTCTTCTTCTTGTTTTTCTTTCAAGCTGACCCACTTCAAAAGGCAGCATAAACGCGACCCATGAAATCCGTTGGGCTTGCTCGGCCCGTCACCAATCCTTTGTTTCAACCAATTAATTTCAAGACATGGGCCGCTCACTTGATTTGTCTTTGGCCCAATCTCCGACCCAGGGAAGTCCAACCATGGGTACGGGCTTGTCCGGTCCACCTTCATTGGCCTCACGGCCCAGTTGTCTTGAAACTTTCGGCCCGATGGGTGCCCAACCCATCCCACTCTTCGGTTGCCTAGGGTTGCAAAGGAAAGAGGCCCGCCGCCGCCCTCCTTCCTCCTTCCATCCGTCGGCGGGAACTTCTCCGACTCGCCCTTCGGCGTCAAATGCACCACCCGGCGCCGAGAAGACCCGCCGATTTCCGGCCACCTCCGCATCCTCGCGTCCTCGTCGCTCGATGCCGTCGCGGGAGCCCAATACACCCGCCCGACCAGATCCCCCGTCAAGGAAACCATCGAGAATCCCGGCCTTTCTTGCGCGATTCTCCTCTCTTGCGGTCCGATCCTCAATCCCGGCGAAAGCTCCTCCTTCCTGGCTGTCGCCGCGTCTTTCCCGGTGACCAGCGCACCCCGTGGAGCCCTCCAAGGCCGTCATTTCCACGGCTCGAGCTGGGGACCCGACGTCACCATTTATGGCGACGCGTGAAGCTCAGCGCCGCCTGTTCCCTCCTTCTTCCTCTCGTCCTCCAGCGAATGGCGCACTTGGGCACTCAAAGTCCACCCTGGCTTCTTCTTCGGCTTCTCCACCCCGACGGACGACGAGCAGAGGGTTCAGCCGCCACTCTTCTTCTCCTTCATCGATGGCGAGGCGCCCCTCCAGTTGTGGGGTAGTCCGTCCACTTTTGACCTCTTCTTCTTCGCCTCACTCACCGGCAACGAACAACCCACCAAGCGACGAGGCTGGCATTTCGATTCCGGTCCCGGCTTCGCCTTCCACTTCCCGTTGGTCAGCGTCTCCATCGGCCTTGTCTTTCCCTTTTTTATTTCCGACGTTGATTTCTTCTTCTTGTACTTCCAATTACAGGCTCTACCTCTCTTCGTTGTCCTCCATGCTTGAGCTCTAGCAATAAACTCCCCAGATCGATCGAAGCGCTTCCCCGACGCGGCTGCAAGAGTAGAGACTTCAGTTGTGGGCATTTGAAGCTGAAAAGCAGTTACTTCCGCGTCGATCTCCGCCACTTGTACTAGAGGCTTCTTTGGGATTACGGAATCCACCAAAGCTTGCCGAGAAGTCTCCACGAAATCGTTGAAGGTGACCCCATGCCAAATCTGATGGTGGCGGTGGTTGCAGCGGCTCGGTGGTCTGCAGGGGCTGCTGTTGTTTGTTGTTGGTGATGAGAGGTTCATCTGTGGCCCCAAGCTCCTCCGCGCCTGGCTGCTCTGATCTTTCCTCGCCGTCGTCTGTGGCTTCTTCTTCTTCAACTGCTACTGGTAGCAGTACGGTGGTGATTTCAGTTGTGAATGGTGGAGGTGAATCATTCTCCTTCTTGACGACAACTGTGATTGAAGGCGTTGGAATGGCAGTGGTTGGCGGCGTGGCTGTGGCCTCATGATCTTCTTCGACGGTGGCCCACCCACGCTCACGTGCCTCGCGTTTGAGCTCGGCTAGCGTGAACTCGATCTTCTGTCGTATGCGAGCCCACACCGGATCGATGAACATTGAAGAGCTCATGACGACTCTGATACCAAATGATAGAACGTGGGATTATGGTTCTATCGGGAATTGAGGATTTAGGGATTAAGAACAGAATTAGGGATTTGAGAAGAGAAAGATAGAGAATTGGCCTAGGCCTTTAGAGGGATTGGGAGAATAGGGTTTTGGAGAGTTTTCTTATTATTCTTCTTATTACTTCTGAATAAAATGTAAAGTACATATTTATAACGAATGACTGGAAAAACCTAATAGACTATCCTAATATGACTCAAAGACTACTAACCATATATAGATAATTTCTAATATTAATAATTATGATAGAGCCTAAAAATTAGGTTTCTATCACGGAATCAAAACAAAGAAAATTGGTACAAAGGATCGCCCCCCTGATCGTACCCAGGCTATGGGAATGAATGGAATCCCAATGAAGAATGAGAAGGGGGGCAGCCTCCTTGCTGTCGCGAAACCTATGCTGGAAAGGGATTCTCAAGGGGGGGGGGGATGGGGGGTGGACGCGGCGCTGCCTGAAGAAACGGTCGCGTCTGTCTGCTTATGCTGAGATTGAAGTCCCTGAGGAACGCCCATTAAAGAGATTACGCCAAAAGTCAAAGAATCAATGGAGGTTTGGGCTCCCTCACTCGTCAGATTTGGATGGGGATGAACATGTTCTAGCCCCGCTCGCGCGGAGTAACACGCAGAAAACAGAAACTGGGATTGAGCACCCTGCTCCTTGTGAAAACCTAGCTCAATCGATACCCTTCGGGAATGGGATTTGTCTCGTGAATGGGATTTGTCCCGTGAAATCAAATTGTGGGAGAACAGAATTTCGTAAAACCCCCATGGGGGATGGGGCTCTCTGCGTGCCACCGGGCAATAGGAAGATAAAGGTTCAAGCTAATCCTTGCAATCCCAGCACCGCCGATGTGAAGAGGGACGACGGGTCTGAGGACACTGTTTCCGGCGTCCGCTGGTGTGGCCACAAAAAAGCTAGCCAGTTAAGATTGGATCTGCTCCAGAGATCCTTGTTTTGTTGAGCGGGATCCTCGAAAATAATTTCCGTGTAAAAAAACAGAAAATAGCCCGCGTCAGAAGTCTCCGAATCCAATTGTAACTCTAGTTGATGACTGCCACTGGGAATCACGACTTCTCCTGGAGATCACGGGGTCTTTACCCTATAAATCTACACTGCCGATAGCTAATCTGCCATTGTGCAGTGAGCGGTGTCGAGTGCTTTCTCCACAGGCGAGATCAGCAGATATCCACAGCCAGCAGTGGTGTGCCCCCGAGCTCGAGTCAGGTAACGGGATTCGTTCCCATCTTTCTTCCACCTGCTCTATTGCGAGAGGCATCCCTGCCCTCGAGAACATTCTTTCCCCTTCGACTTCCCCTGGGATGCTACCGCCGATATCAGTTGCTGAGTCGCCAAACCCAGTTACCTCTACTACCCTCTTTAATAATAGAAAATCACTTATTCCCCTTGGCCTGCTGCCGCCAATCTCAGTGATAGACACGACTGTACCTATTGCTTCTTACGCTTTATCTATTCATGCTTGTCAGGTGAATACGATGTCGCGTATTGCAGAGGATCAAGTGGTCGAGTTCTCACTTGAGGAGGTCCAATCTGGGAGGTTTCGCACTTCTAGGACCCTTCTTGGAAGGCTCTTTTCGGAAGCCAGGCTTACCACCTTGGAGTTGAGGGATGTTCTAATCGAAGCTTGGTGGGTGAAAGGAAACCTTAGGGTTTCACTCACTAAATTTGGCCTATTTGAAGTTGTTCTCCCAAGTGATGAGACAAGGGTGTGGGTCCTGAAAAGAACGCCCTGGATTGTCAAAGACAGGAATTTCCATCTTCGTTCCTGGACACCATCCATTTCGAGAGTCACCTTTGATGAGTTGGCCATTGCCCCCTTTCCCGTTCAGCTCTGGAATGTGAAAGATGACTGCTTCACTAAGCAGTTTGGCCGGAAAGTGGCAACTGGTACTATCGGCCAGGTCTTGGAGGCAGATGACTTTGCGTCCAAGGACACGGAAGAATTCTTTGTTAAAGTTCTTGCTCTCATCGATTTTACCAAGCCTCTGAGTTCTCAAATTATGGCGGTGAGTGCAGAGCTGGGCAGTTTCTGGGTAAATCTCAAATATGAGTTTTTACCGACCATCTGCTTCTACTGTGGTCGCGTGGGGAATTCTAAACGCGACAGCGTTTTTGATTCCCCTCTGGGGAAAGAACGGTACGGACCGCACATGTCAACAAGGAAGCTAGGAAGGAAGATTTGCATGGCTGAAGAGGATTATCCGAATTTCTGGAATATTAGTAAGTCTGTGTGGGTTAACAAGAATGTTCAACGCCAAAATAATGGAAGTGCGAAGATTGATAGGGGTCGAGTGGAGGAGGTATCACCGATGCTCAATGATCGTGCTCAGGATCAAGGCGTGTACCATCCAGTGTTTGCAGAACCGGAAGCTCAACCCAGAAGGAAGCCACAGCCTAGGCTGAGAGAACCAAACAACAAAGTGGCTGGGAATCATACTAGCCCCAAGAAGTTTGTCATCAAGAAGTTGACTCGGGTAAAGATTGGTGGGGGTGTTAGGCAACATCAAAAGGATCTGTCTCCTTGAAAGGGGACCTCTCTTCATCGACAAGTCACCAAGACTCACGAACAACCTAATAGACGCGTCAGGCAGGCTCCTCATCACCAGCAGGGGGTGATTCCTCTGGAGGTGGCTCTTGAGCAGTCCCGGAGGCGTATGATGATTCTGCAGGAGGAATCTGAGGAGGAGGAGACTGCAGATGTTACAGCAGTGCATCCCATACAGTCACGTATCCCCTCGGGCCCCGCCAAAGACCCTGTTCATAAACCGCCGATGGATCCTCAGCTGCACTCCAAGACTGCGACCCAGCCAGGGGTCTTAACTCCTCGGGCTCGCCCACGTCTGAGAAAAGTATGAGCTAGCTTCCCTTTGATTATAACTAATCAGGATGAGGGCTCTACTCCCTCTGGTGCATTGCAGGAGCTGGAACACAAAGAGGTTGTGGCTACCCTAGATGATCCTATTTCTACGGATCACGAGCAGGCCTCTGACTCTGATGAGGATTAATCGCTGGAGGATCTTCAATCCTTTGAAATCAAGCGTCGGTCACCAAATGACGCATCCAGGAAGACTTGCCCAGTCATGAAAGGGTGTGTTCATCAAGTGGTGGAGGCGTTCGAGGCCGGGCTAGTCATCGTGCGAGAGGAAAGAGCTCCCTACAAGGGGTCGAGATTGAACCTGAATGAATATGGGTCTAATCTGGTGGACCCTCTCATGGAGAATCGGAAACATGTGCTCGAGGAGTTGGATGGGGATGTGGGTGACCCTCCTACCCCAAAGAAGCAATTTGTGGAGTCAGCTAATGTTTTGGAGAAGGTGGAGGAAGCCAGCCTCGAGTGGCCCCCAGCCGATAAATGAGGCTTCTGGCCTGGAATGTGAGAGGAATTGGGCCGTCCCTCACCTTCCAAAATGCTGTAGGGCTTGTTCATTCTAATAAACCGGATCTCGTGTTTTTTTCTGAAACACGATCGAGCCGGCGTGTAGTGTCCAGTCATATGCGGGATTTAGGTTTTGCTCTTTCTCATTGTTTTTTTGTAGATGCAGTCGATTTATCGGGTGGTTTAGTAGTCTCTTGGTTCCCCGGGGTTGACACTTTGGTGTTTGTCATTCCAATTTCCATATTTGTTCGCAAATTAATGAAGGAGATTTTTCTAATGTGGTGATCTTTGTCTACATTAGTTGTAATGTTGTTGTTCGAGCCAATCAATTGGCTCATCTACGAGAAGTTTGCGCGACTATTCTTCACCCTTATGTGATCATAGGTGATTTCAACACTACCCTCCACGAGGGAGAAAAAGATGGGGGTCGGGCATGGAATGCTGCGCAAGCGATTAGTCTTCGAGATTTTGTTCATGATTTGGGGCTCCATGACCCAGGTTACCAAGGAGATCAGTTCACTTGGACCAACAAGCGTATGGGTGCAGCATGCATTCGTGAACGTCTGGATAGGGCACTTTGCTCCCAATCTTGGATTGATACTTATCCGGAGACTATGGTCAAACACTTTACGGACCAGGGATCGGATCATCGTGCCCTTCTTCTCGCTGATAAACCGTATACTCGGAGTAGTCAGCCCTGTTCTGGTTTGATGCCCGTTGGGCGGATAACCTAGAGGTTAGGTGATGACTTGATATATACACATGGTTTTGTCCACCATTCTTATATCGTTTGAGTCTTATTTCTCCTGTTTTAGGCCGATTTCACGCTAGGTTGTTCTTGTTTTTTGATATTTCAGGTCCTAGTACGTGAATGAAGGTTTGGGAACGAGTTCAGGGTCGATTGGACGAAGATTAGACGTTCGGCGAGAAGCTAAGGAAACCAACACAGGCACGCCTAAAATTCCACACGGCCGTGTGACTTAGCCGTGTGGCACCACTTTGCACGGGCAGATCGCACTGGCCGTGTAAAGGACCCCTCGTGGCCGTGTGGTATGTCCAGAGAGTTCACACGGGCAGGCCTAAATTCCACACGGCCATGTGGTTTTGTCCGTGTAGCGTTCCTGAAGTTACTAAATCGAACACGACATTTTGGAGAGCCACACGGGCAGACTAGGATTCCACACGGCCGTATAGTCGGGCAGAGTTGGGTTTCTAACCCAATTTCATGTCTTTTGAGAGGGGGATCGATTTTCAGAGCTAGAAACAGAGTCCTAGAGAGAGAAAGTGCGAAGAACAAACCCTAGGAGTGATTTTGGAGTTGGGTTTCATCAATCAAGCTTGGATTTCATCTTTGAAGTGAAGATCATCAACCCAGAGTAGATTCTTCCCATCTTGGAGAGTATGACTGCTTTGTTTTCTGTTTCCCTCTCTCTCTCTATGGAGTAGAACCCTCTCTCACTTGGGTATGAAGAACCCTAGTTCCATGTGTTAGTGATATCGATTGTAATGACGTTTGGATTGTGATATTGCTTGATTATAATCGATTGAAGTGTTTTGATTGAGTCAATTGAAGCATGATCATCTTTTATTGATTTATGCTGCAACGTGAGATAGATAGAATCTTATTAGGTTGTTAGAGCTTCTTCAATCGGTAGTAGTGAATCGATTATACGAGAGTTAGTGGATTCACTGCTTTGTACTGGAATCCAATTCCAGTAGTGGAGTTCTGTGTTTATAGCCTCAGCTTTCTATCCCGGTGAAGACTAGTCGTCTGTCGGGTAGTTTGACTGAGAGGGCTTGGTCAGCTTAAGAGATTCCAAGCTATTGTCGGATCTTCCGCAGTATAAGCAACAGTAAAGCAACCAAAGGTAATTACAACTTTGACCTAACTAAGGAGCTAGGGGGACTCATTCCCGAGTGACTCTTCCCTTGCTTTAGAAAACCGAACAATTTCCTGCTTTCTTACTGCTTTAGCTTAAAATCACAATCACTTAACTTAGTCTGCTAGATAATAGATAAACACGGAGTAGGCAGTAGATCTAGACCCTGGGTTGATAAATAGAACTTGCCACTATTCTGCATTTCTAGACTGCGATTACACTTGGTCGCAGTTTGGTGTTGTGTTTTAGCGTGTCAAGTTTTTGGTGCCGTTGCCGGGGACCTCTAGGTTATTGTAGAAACGTGAAAGTCTGTTACTTTAGCGTTTTTCTTTTTTTTTCCATCCATGCTTTTCACTTGGGCGTTATGTTTTTGTTGATGCACATCTGAAACATGGATCCTCATGGCTTCGCCAACCATTGGGGGTATCAACCACCATCCGTGTGGTATTACCCTGAGACTTCATGGAGCAATCAAGGAGGAGAAGACTATGGATTCGGATGTCGGTACCAACCCCCCTACTACGCAGAACAACCAAACCCTTGGTAACCTCAAGAACAATATCCTTTTCAATAAGAATTCTTGCCACAACCAAAATGGTTATCTTAGTTGGAGTTAGCCATGGAGGCCTTCACGGGCCACTCTGCAGAGGCATACTACACTCCACTGGCAGATCCGAGCAAACAATTGAGGCTTCTCGTGGAGAGCAGTTTGCTCGAGACACTGAGAGATCATGCTCCAAGATGGATCTTCAAATCTAAGCCCTTGCCCCTTCCGATCCCTCATTTCTCCATGAAATGGAGGAGGCTGTTCAGTGCTCAGCGAAGCAAACAGAGTGGGTGGAGCAAGTTTGCGCACAGCCTGCTCATGATCACCTTTCTGCTACCACACTAGAAGAGGTGGAGGATGACGAAGGCTACGGGGACGTTGAGGAGCATACAGAAGTTATCACAGACAACTCCCTTGATAATCATGATAAGGAAAGTCCTCTGGTGGCAGATCACACCTTTCCTCATTTCTGCTCTAACATGTTGGGCCCATGCAAGGAGATGCAAGATGATCCCATTGAAGAAATTGCTTGGCGACTTGCTCTCCAATCTGTTCGGGAAGAAGAAAGAAGTTGTGGAGGATGAGGAAGAAAGCGTAGTTCTTGATCTTTTCCAAGGGGAGAGACCACATTTTGAAGAAGGAAGGGGGGTTGAGGAAGCAATTGGCGTCCAGGCTGAGGATGAAGTTGAGGTGGAAGAGGCTTACACCGGCCCTATGTTACATGTGATATCTCCACCAAACTTCGAGGAGCTGCTTGGAAAGGACCCATTTGTAGTGTCTCTTTGCCATACCAAGACCACATCAACATCAATCCCTCTTGGTGGATGCGATGGTGGTCAATCGATGATATCTTATCTAGTTTGGGGCAATGAGACAAGAGCAGACGCGGAGGAGAGGTCTCGAGAGTGGAGACTTCATCTTACTCAAGGCCACGAGCCATCTTCATCATCTATCACATCACCTGATTGTGACTTGGGACTCCACATCATCGACGAGAATCTCAACTTCAAGGAGGCTCTGGGGTGGACAGATACTTAGGAGTCACCGTCCAGATAAGACGTAAAAGAAGAGCTTGTGGGGAGGCAACCCCACCAAGGTTTGTTTTCCTTTAGTTTGTTTTCGGTTTGTCCACTTGGACTTATGGTTTCTATCACCCAGTGTGTTTTGATGACTCTAGCCCTGCTAACTGGTCTCATTTCCCGTCCCCCGGCAGTCCGTTTTCCCGGTAACATTGTTTCCCCTTATCTTTCCCTCTACTCCATTGAGGGTAATGTCGTGCTTAAGTGTGTGTGTGTGTAGGGAGGGGGGTGTTTATCTATTTTTGACTGCTAGATGAGTATGTGTGTGTGGAGCCTAGTCCACTGTCCAATTTTATGAATTGAGGGCTCCAAGTACTGTTCCTTGCAAAACCCTGCTAAGTATGCTTTGAATTGACAGTCTTTATGGTGATATGCAACCTAGGGAGGTAGTTGTAGCACTATGGAGGATGTTGAAGTATAAGATTTTTCCTATCTATCTCTCTGTTGTGCCAGTTGATTTTGTGAACTGTTGGATTTAGGACCGTTGATTCATGTGGTATTGATGACTCCTCCTATATTGTGTTGTGGATTCGTACCGAAACAAGGTGCTCATATGTGAAATGAAAAAGCAGTTGGTCCTCCATGTCAAAAATTTGAAATTTTAAGACATGGGGTAAGCCCAATGTGTGTGGCACCGTTCATTGCACAAAAGCGGGTTTTGGAAGAGATTTTAGTGATCCTTAGTGGGATGTACCCCTACAAGGTGAAGCTAAGCCATCTCTAGTACAAGTAATTTTTCCACCTGTTGAACGATTTGTCTACTTGAGGATGTGTTTTTAAGGGCACTGATAGAGCTTCCGACACCCCTTAATTTCATTGACCCTCCACACAAAGTGAGGAATAGGAGTTAAAAGAAGTACTCCGGCGAACGATAGATGTACAGAAATTGCTCTTGCTCACATAATAAGGGTCGACCGCGCATAAAAACTGCTGCTGGAACCCCAACAAAGTAAAAAAAACAAATAGTAAGAAGAAGGGGTTCCAACAAGTGAAATGAAATGAAAGAGAACCCGATACAATGAGTCATTGGTTGTTGAATTGTGTGAGTCTCCTTATCCATGAACTGACTGTCTTAGTTCCACTGCTTCTCATGATCCTGGCTTGAGTCTAGCACTCGCATTGAGAGAGATAGGGGGCGTCTTAGAAGACCAGTTGACCTTGTAAGTTGCTAAATGATCTAGAAAATCCTCTGCCTACGATCGGGGTTGCATGTTGCTATGGAGGTCTGAAGAGCTGCATTGGTTTAAGTCAGGTTTGCATGGGGACAAGCAAAAGGTTAAGTGTGGGGGAATAGGATGACTTGATATATACACATGTTTTTTCCCACCATTCTTATACCATTTGAGTCTTATTTCTCGTATTTTAGGCCGATTTCACGCTAGGTTTTTCTTGTTTGTGATATTTCAGGTCCTAGTACGTGAATGAAGGTTTGGGAATGAGTTTGGGGTCGATTGGACGAAGATTGGACGTTCGGAGAGAAGCTGATGAAACCACACGGGCACGCCTAAAATTCCACATGGCTGTGTGACTTGGCCGTGTGGCACCACTTTGCACGGGCAAATCGCACTGGTCGTGTAATGGACCCCTTGTGGCCGTGTGGGATGTCCAGAGAGTTCACACGGGCATACCTAAATTCCACACGGCCGTGTGGTTTTGGCCGTGTTGCGTGCCTGGAGTCACTAAATCGAACGAGCCGTTTTGGAGAGACACACAGGCAGACTGGGATTCCACACGGCCGTGTAGTCGGCCAGAGTTGGGTTTTAACCTAATTTCGGGTCTTTTGAGAGGGGGATCGATTTTCAAAGTTAGAAACAGAGTCCTAGAGAGAGAAAGTGCGAAGAACAAACCCTAGGAGTGATTTTGGAGCTGGGTTTCATCAATCAAGCTTGGATTCATCCTTGGAGTGTAGATCATCAACCCAGAGCAGATTCTTCCCATCTTGGCGAGTATGACTGCTTTGTTTTCTGTTTCCCTCTCTCTCTCTATGGAGTAGAACCCTCTCTCACTTGGGTATGAAGAACCCTAGTTCCATGTGTTAGGGATATCGATTGTAATGACGTTTGGATTGTGATATTACTTGATTACAATCGATTGAAGTGTTTTGATTGGGTAAATTGAAGCTTGATAATCTTTTATTGATTTCTGCTGCAACTTGAGATAGATAGAATCTGATTAGGTTGTTAGAGATTTTTCAATCGGTAGTAGTGAATCGATTATACGAGAGTTACTGGATTCACTGCTTTGTAGTGGAATCCAATTCCAGTAGTGGAGTTCTGTGTTTATAGCCTCAGCTTTCTATCACGGTGAAGACTAGTCGTCTGTCGGGTAGTTTGACTGAGAGGGCTTGGTCAGCTTAAGAGATTCCAAGCTACTGTCGGATCTTCCGCAGTATAAGCAACAGTAAAGCAACCAAAGGTAATTACAACTTTGACCTAACTAAAGAGCTAGGGGGAATCATTCCCAAGAGACTCTTCCCTTGCTTTAGAAAACCGAACAATTTCCTGTTTTCTTACTGCTTTAGCTTAAAATCACAATCACTCAACTTAGTCTGCTAGATAATAGATAAACATGTAGTAGGCAGTAGATCTAGATCCCGGGTTGATATATAGAACTTGCCACTATTCTGCATTTCCGGACTACGATTACACTTGGTCACAGTTTGGTGTTGTGTTTTAGCGTGTCAAGTTCTTGGCGTCGTTGCCGGCGACCTCTAGGTTATTGTAGAAACGTGAAAGTCTGTTACTTTAGCGTTTTTCTTTTCTTTTCCACCCATGCTTTTCAATTGGGTGTTATGTTTTTGTTGGTGCAGATATGAAACATGGATACTCATGGCTTCACCAACCATTGGGGGTATCAACCACCATCCGTGTGGTATTACCCCGAGACTTCGTGGTGCAATCAAGGAGGAGAAGACTATGGATTCGGATGTCATTACCAACCCCCCTACTATGGAGAACAACCAAACCCTTGGGAACCTCAAGAATAATATCCTTTTCAAGAAGAATTCTTGCTACAACCAAAGGGGTTATCTGAGTTGGAGTTAGCCATGGAGGCCTTCACGTGCCACTCTGCAGAGCCATACTACACTACACTGGCAGACCCGAACAAACAATTGAGGCTTCGAAATGATGAGGGCAAATGGGTCACTGAGGAAAGTGGGAAGGCTACTATTGCTACCAACTTTTACCAAACACTGTTTACCTCGGAGTCCCGGGTTCCTAATATGACCGATAAGGTGGCGAATCTCCCCTTTTCCCATAGTGTTACTCCGCAGATGAATGCTGTTGACGGCGGAAGTATTGCCTGATGAGGTTCGGAGAACGGTCTTTTCAATGGGGTCGAAGTAGGCTATGGGATCTGATGGCTTTACCGGAAAGTTCTTCAAAGCATTCCGGGATATTGTGGGCACTTCGATGATTGATGCAGTATGTTCATTCTTTACAACTAGTCGAATGCTGTGGAGTTTTAACCATACCTGGCTCACTTTGATTCCTAAAGTGGATTATGTGGAAACAATCTACCAGTTGCGTCCGATCAGCCTATGTCAGTTTGTTTATAAAGTGATAACCAAGATCATGGCTGGACGGCTTGCAGGTCTGCTCCCTCAGATCGTTTCTGAGGGTCAGAATGCGTTTATAAGAGACCTGCAAATTATCGACAACATCCTTCTCAGACATGAGTTAATGCATTATCTAAAAATAAAGAAGCAGTGGAAGAAGGGGTACATGGCTCTAAAGGTTGACATGGAAAAAGCCTATGATAAAATCGAATGGCCCTTCCTTCTGACAGTTTTGGATAAAATGGGTTTTAACTCTGTCTGGCAAGGATGGATACATGAATGTCTTCGCTCCGCTTCAATTTTGGTCCTGATGAATGGTACGCACTCGGGTTATTTCACTTCCTCTCGGGGGCTCCGACAGGAGGATCCATTGTCGCCTTTCTTATTTGTGCTATGCACGGAGGGGTTTGTGCCTCTTCTTTGGAAAGCGATCTCGGAAAAGAAGTTGGGGGGGGGGGGGGGTGAAAGTGTGAGAATTTAATTGAGGTGTTGAACGAATATGAGGAGTTGAGTGGTCAACGGGTTAATCTGGAGAAATCTGCAGTCTATTTCAGCAAAAATGTTGCCCTGCCAGATCAAGAGTTCTTGGCCACGATTCTAGGGGTCTGTGCAGTAGGGGTCCATGACAAGTATCTGGGGTTACCCACTTTGATTGCCCGCTCCAAAATGGCTACGTTTCGATATTTAGAGGAGAAATTACTAGAGCGACTGCAGGGGTGGAAGCAAAGTACATTGTCCTGCGCGGCAAAGGAGACATTAATTAAGTCAATAGCTTTGGCCTTACCCATGCATGTTATGTTGTGCTTCCGGTTGCCCCTCTCTCTTTGTCGACCTTTGGATAGACATGTGGCCCGGTTCTGGTGGGGTGCTAAGGAGGGCAATCCCAAGGTTCGGTGGGTGTCCTGGCGCAATCTGTGCAGGAGTAAACACGATGGGGGGATGGGATTTCGCCGGTTTGAACATTTTAACCAAGCGCTTTTAGCGGGTTGGATCCGATCCTTAAGCCTCGTTGTTTAAGGAGGTTCTTAAACCATTTTTATTGGCTGATACTAGATTAGGTAGTTAATGAGGGGTTAGTAGTTAATCGTTAGTTGGAATAAATAAGATATTATGAAAATATAATTAATATTACTCATTAATGATTCTCTTTCTCTCTCCCCCTTGATCTTCTCCATAACCATCTCTCTCCACTACAATTGAAAGGAAATTCGAAATTAATTTAATTAAATATTATTATTTAATATTTAATAAATTCGAACTTAATATTTTTTATTTTTTAAAATGAAAATTGAAATTAAAAATATATGCTCTCTCTCACTTCGTGGCAACTTGCAATACAGTATTAACATTTTGCAATGACATTATCAACATTTATGAAATGAATCGTTATTATTATACCTCATCATTATTAACGACTTCAATATACTTATCAATTCCTTACAATTACATTATTAACAATTTTGGATCAATTGTTACTATTTAATAGTTACGTCATCAACGCCTATGAATGAATCATTAAAGTTATGTAACATAGTCATTAATAGTTTGAATAACAATATCATTGATTTACAACATCTTTAGTACTAATGATTCACATTTTCACATCATGTTTATAACTATCTAGTCATGGCATCTTCCAATGATTTCTAATGACATTATTAACGTTTTATGGTCAATTAATATTGCTTTACATTATCATTCTCAATGATCATAACGCACAATACTAATTTTCAACATCTTGGGTACTTGTGACATAGTGCACATGTGTGATTCAGTCAAACAAACATTGTCCAGAAAAATATTAGCTCAAGCAAACCAACATTCACGCCTCAACACCAAACTTTTAATAACAATACAATAAATCATTGATAACGAAAAGTATTTCGTTGAAAATAAACACAAAACATAAATGTAAAAATGTCCGGCTTCAATATAAATGACATCAAACTTTTAATAAAGATATTAAAAACCATTAATATCTAATGATCAAGTCACTGATAAGGAAATAGATTTTTGTAATATAAAAATATTAATAATATTCAGATGCAATGTTTAATGTCAAATAGCACTAAAAACGCATTAATAAGTAACATGTGTTTAATGGATAATGCATCCAAAAACTTTGATAATGATAACAACTAATGATTGTTAAGTACCTTATTAGATATTATTAATATCTTATTTTCAAACATTGATAATGCTTATACACGCCTATTAATAATGACACCAAACTACGTTACTAACTTAGACTGAAAGATTAATAACCATAGTTATATCATTAAACGTAAATTCACTTTTGATAATGTCATAAACAAACGAATATCTAACAAGTATGCTTCTTGAATCTTGATAATGACATTTGACAAAGTTACAAACATAAACGAAAAAATATTAATAATTCAAATCACTAAACATAAGCAATCTTACAGATGAATTAAATTTTTGTTAATGGTTGTATTGTGCTTGGAAAAAAACTATTGATAATAGCACTTCAAATGATTATAAATCATTGCGAACCAAATTGATAATACAATGTAATAGTAAATAAACTTCTAGTACCAACAAATTGAAAACACAATTTCACTTATACTAATGTTACAAACAAAGCATAACATAAAAAGTTAATAATGTCATATAAAATTATTAAAAAACATGTCGAACAACATTAATAATAACACAAACGAATACCTAACAACGAAAAATCTCAAACCCATGCAATGAAAAGCCTTAATGATGATTCAATTTATAAATATTGATAATGTCATTACAATATGTTAATACTTAATACTAATCGGAAGTTGCCAAGATGTGAGAGAGACATATATTTTAAATTTCAAAATTTTATTTTAGAAAAAGAAAATTATTAAATTCGGATTTTATTAAATATTAAATAAAATTAATTTCATATTTCTTTTTAATTATAATGTAGAGAGAGGGTTATGGAGAAAATCATGGGAGGAGAGAGAAAGAGAATCATTAATTAATTATATTAATTATAATTATATTTGCATAACTCTATTTACCCTTAACTACCTATTAACTACTAACCCACATTAACTACCTAATCCACTATCAGCCAATAGGAAGACTTTAAGATTTTCCTTAAGAAATGAGGCTTAAGGACTTGAACTCAAGCCCGCTTTTAGCAAAATTGGCTGGCGTATTCTCAATTAACCTCATTCCCTCCTTGCTCAAGTGTATAAAGGGAAGTATTTTGGTATCAGAGCCTCGCAATCGGAAATCAGCTGCTGCCATGGATGAACGCGTGGAACAACTTGATACCAATATGACCACCATGCTCAAAGAAATGCGAGAGAACTTCACGGCCATAACCGCCAGATTTGATATAATGGTCGTTCGGGCAAATGACGAGGAGCACGACAAAAGGCGAGATCGCCACAGTCGGGTCGACAACGGAAATCAGAGACCCCAGCCTTCACTGAAGATTGATTTCCCCAAGTTCAACGGCATAGAGGACCCAACCGTGTGGATCTGTCGGCTGAGCAATTCTTCGAGTTCTATGAAACCCCTGAGGAAGAGAAGGTGCTTCTCGCATCCATCAATCTCGACGGGGAGGCCCAGCTCTGGCTGCAGATCTTAATGGAGGGAAATCAAAGGGTGACATGGGCTGATTTCAAACGAGATATCCATGCTCGTTATGGCCCAACTCAGTTCGAGGACCATTTTGGAGAACTGACCAAGCTGCGTCAACGACAAACTGTGTGAGAGTACCAAACTTAGTTTGAGAAACTTCTCGTATGTGTAGGTAATCTATCGCCAGCTCCACAAGTTAGCTGCTTAGGGAGTGGTTTGAAGGACGAGATTCGCTCTGACGTTGTCGCCTGCAAGCCAACAAATCTCACCGCCGCTGTTGGTTTGGCTCGTCTGAATGAGCAGAAGGTCACATCTAAATAGGCAGTTGCTCGACGAGTAGGCACAACGAGTGGAGGAGGATACATGGAACCCAGACCCATTGAAAGAAAACCGACCTCATCATCCGGGAACCTACCCATTAAGCGCTTATCTCCGGCTGAGATAAAGGAGAGGGAGGAAAAAGGCTTGTGTTTTAATTGTGATGAGCAATTTGGGCCAGGGCATCGCTGCAAGAGGTTGTTCTTCATTGAAGGGACTTGGTCTAATGAAGATGGTGATGTGGAGTTGGAAATTGAACCTCAAGATGCTGTGGGAATCTCCATGTATGCAATCACTAGAGCCAATGATGACAGGACCATGAAGGTTGCGGGGCAGGTTCAACAGTTTTGAAGCTGTAAAGAAACTTGGCCTGGCCATCCAAGAAGGAGGGAAGCTTGAAGTGTCGGTGGCAGATGCCAGCAAGATACCGTGCGTAGGGAAGTGCCCTAGAGTTCAAGTCAAGTTTCCCGGGGTATCGATTGTGGTCGACTTTTACGTCCTACCATTAGGGGGTGCAATGCTGTACTTGGAACTCAGTGGTTGCGATCATTGGATCCCATCACTTGGGATTTCACCAATATGACCATGAAGTTCCACTTTCAGGAACGAGAAATGGAGTTGAAGGGTAGACACTCTCTGCACAACAAGATTGTGGATGAGGCAACATGGATGAAAGAAGCACGTGGCTGCAAGCAAGGGTTACTAATGGTAGCTATAGCCAAATCAGAGTCCCCCGACAAGGACAAACCAGTCACCGAATCCATTGAGCTGGGACAGCTGCTACACCAGTTCAATAATTTGTTCCAGCCACCACAAGGGCTTCCCCAACCACACTCACATGATCACCAAATTCCCCTCAAACCAGGGAGTGGACCAGTCTGCGTGAGACCATATTGGTATCCTGCATATTTGAAGGAGGAGATCGAGAAACTCATTGCTGAGATGCTGGAGGCAGGTATTATTCAGAATAGCCAAAGCCCTTACTCGTCTCCTGTTTTGATGGTTAAGAAACAAGATGGTTCGTGGAGAATGTGCGTGGATTACTAGGCATTAAATCAAATGACAGTGAAGGACAAGTTTCCAATCCCGGTCATTGACGAGCTGTTAGATAAACTCCATGGCGCCAAACTATTCTCCAAGCTGGACCTCAGGTCGGGGTACTGGCAAATTCAAGTTGCTTCTGAAGATGTGCCAAAAACTGCATTCCGTACACACCAAGGTCACTATGAGTTTTTAGTGATGCCATTTGGCCTCTCCAATGCTCCATCCACTTTTTAGTCACTCATGAATGAGGTATTCAAACTCTTCCTAAGAAAATTGTACTTGTGTTCTTTGATGACATTTTGGTTTACTCGCCGACGATTGAAGAACATTTTAAACATCCGGTGATTGTATTCCAAAAGCTCCATGAACATCAATTATATGTAAAAAAATATAAATTCAGCTTCCTTCAATCTGAAGTTCACTACTTGGGACACTTAATATCTGCTAAAGGAGTTGCAGTAGATCAAGACAAGATTCAAGCTATGCGAGAGTGGCCACTACCCAAAACACTCAAGGCATTGCGAGGTTTTCTGGGTTTAACAGGGTATTACAAGAAGTTCATCCGTGATTACGGAAAAATTGCAGCACCCCTTACCGACATGTTGAAGAAGAACAACTTCGTCTGGACAACAGCCAGTGAAGCATCGTTCCAGCACCTCAAGCAGGCAATGACCACGGCTCCAGTCCTTGCCCTTCCCAATTTTCAGCAGCCCTTTATTGTTGAATGTGATGCCTCAGGCATGAGAGTTGGAGCAATTCTTATGCAGAATCAGAGAGCATTGGCCTTCTTTAGCCAAGCCCTTCATGGGAAGAATCTCATTGCATCCGCTTATGAGAAAGAGATGCTTGCTTTAGTGTTGGAAGTTAAGAAATGGCGGTCGTATCCACTGGGGCGACAATTCACAGTCCGCTCTAATCAACGAAGCCTCCGCTATTTATGGTAGCAGTGAATCACTATGCCAGCTCAAAGAAGTGGTTGTCCAAGCTGATGGGTTTCAACTTCAAAATTGAATATAAGAAAGGGGCAGAAAATAGAGTGGCCGATGCTCTTTCTCGCATTCATCATGGAGAATTAATGGCTATTTCTACTCCAATAGCTGTTTGGGCAAAGACTATCAGGGAAGAAGTGAAAGATGGGTCAGAATATCAGCAATTGATC